ATTTCCCCGTGCCCCCGACACCAAGAGTGTATGCCGCCGAGTGGCCACAAGGTGCCGCCCGGCGCAGCCGCATTCAATCCGTATTTAATGCGATCCATTTTGGCGTTCCTCTCACGAACGAGCACTGCACACACACACACACACACACACACACACACACACACACCAAACGCACGCACCCAGAGAGTCTTGCTACACGCGGCGGCGTGCCACACGCGCGTGCGAACCACAGGGACAGAGTTGACTAGACTGCTATATTACCGGCCGTGCCGTGGCGAGCCGCAGCGCGGCGGCGCCGCCGCAACCCGTGAGTCCGGTTTGGGATTCGCATCCACAACAACCAACCAGCCAGCCCACACATTCGGCCGGCAAGACCTAAGAAAGAAAAAAACTAAAAAGAACGCAACGCACACGACCAAAGAACATGATAAAAAGAGGAAGACGTTTATTAAAAGATTTAAAAGGCTAATATGGTGACGGCACTCGCGGCGTCACGGACTGGGCCTACGCCATTGGCGGGCCCCGCGGGGACGTCATAGCCGAGAATGCTAATCCGTGTGATCCTCGGACGCGATTCCGGGCGCTGTGAGCTTTTGCGGTGTGGGAGTCGCCGCGGTCCACGGCCGGTCACTCTAAAAACGAACGCTCCGCCTCTCTCGCACTCACGCGGCGTTCCAAGAACGGCCCACACACTGGTGAAACAAAAGCATCAAAATTATGCCCTTAAAGGGCATAAATCGTTAATGCCTTTGGGAAGGGCATTAAAATTTTACTTGAAATTCCTATACCATTTACGCCCTTCCCAAGGGCATAAAACGATTTATGCCCTTGGGAAGGGCGTAAAAGAGTATTTATGCCCTAAAGGGCATACTTTTTATGCCTTTGTTTTACCAGTGCAGGGCCCGATGGACCAGGGCCAGGGCGGCCAGGGCCAGAGTAGACGCCGCGGCGGCAGGTTGACCATGGCGCATCTGCACAACTAATTCTGAACTCGAAGGCCGGGTTTGGACGGGCATAATATGACTCCAGAGGCGTGTCGCTGTCATTTTTCGTTTTTTTTTTCAGCGTGTGCGATGCGCGAGTGACACCGGAAGTGACGTCAGAAGGGACGGAGGGCGCCAGCCTGATTGGCGGGAACGATGAGGAAAAGGGCGCGAAAGGGCGAAAGGGCGCGAAGCCCCCGGGCAGCCCTAAGAAGGACGAAAAACAAAAGGGCTGAGTCCGTCACGGCGGCGTCGCGGCGTCGGGAAGCCACATCGCAGCGCCAATGATGGCGTTGCAGCGGCACTAACGAAGACCGCATTTAGATAAATTTATAGTCCTTTTGGGGAGGGGCGGACGATGACGGCTACAGTCCTGCGGTCAACAAACAAGCAAATAAACACACACATGCACACACACACACACACACACTCTTTCCACAAGCACGCCACAGACGGGCAAGTGGCATAAGAATCACCACACTGCGGCTGATGAGGAGCGCCGAGGAAAACGAGAAAAAGAGGAGCAAACTGGGAGAGAGGGAGGGAGAGACACAGCGAGAGGGGCGTCCTAACCTAGGAGAAGCTGCAAGGCGTTGACCGGACCGAACAGCAAGCCACAGCGCGGACCAGTGGACGAAGTGTTGGCGAAGGGGGAGGGGGCAACAATGGGTCGCAGGCTGAAAAGGAGGGGGAGGGGGCAACAATGGGTCGCAGGCTGAAAAGGAGGGGGAGGGGGCAACAATGGGTCGCAGGCTGAAAAGGAGGGGGAGGGGGCAACAATGGGTCGCAGGCTGAAAAGGGGGGGGAGGGGGCAACAATGGGTCGCAGGCTGAAAAGGAGGGGGGGGGGCAACAAGGGGGGCGCCCGAGGCTGAAAAGGAGGGGGAGGGGCAACAATGGGTCGCAGGCTGAAAAGGAGGGGGAGGGGGCAACAATGGGTCGCAGGCTGAAAAGGAGGGGGAGGGGGCAACAATGGGTCGCAGGCTGAAAAGGAGGTGGAGGGGGTAACAATGGGACGCAGGCTGAAAAAGAGGGGGAAGGGGCAACAATGGGACGCAGGCTGAAAAGGAGGGGGAGGGGGCAACAATGGGACGCAGGCTGAAAAGGAGGGGGAGGGGGCAACAATGGGACGCAGGCTGAAAAGGAGGGGGAGGGGGCAACAATGGGACGCAGGCTGAAAAGGAAGGGGGAGGGGTGCAGTGGAGCTGTGAGGCTGCGGAGCGCTGCGGAGCTGTGAAGCTGCGAACGCTGCGAAGCCCGACAATGCAGCAATCCAGCCGAGTCACGACCACTGCAAGGGACCGTCATTTCTTTGCGGTGGAAAGTTACTCTCGGCGAATCCAGCCCGATCCAGCCGGTCCGTCGATCGCAGGGCACACTCTTCAGTCCTCGCCGATTATTTTGAACGAACGCGTTGCTGGCCCGGTGCTGGCTGACGGGTCGAGGCACAGGCCGTACCGCTACTGGCTGCCGTCTCCCACAGTGGGCCCGAAGACAGAAGACCGGTGGAGGCGGCCAAAATTCCAGACGCGTTCTGAGCTCCAGAGTCGCCACTCGAATCGAACGTGTGACCCCACCAATGGATTCCTCACTCGGAGAGCAATCCATTGGTAGGGTCACACGTTCGGTTCGAGTCCTGTTTAGCGACTCTGGAGCTCAAAACGCGTCTGCAATTTTGACCGCCTCCCGCGCACTGTGCGTCGGCCACGTCGGCCCGTCGGCCCAGCGGAGCGCCTAACGAGTGCCGGGTAGGCAATCCGCGCGCACGCCCGGCGGCCGGCTGGCCTGCCCTCACGGGGCCCCGGGCCTGCCCGGGCCCAGCAGACTCATTCCGAGAGTCGCCGTTTTAGTCGCTCTGTCTCTCTCGCATCCCTCCGAGGCAACCCATGAGTGCGACAGGGACAGAGCGACGCAGACGACTGTCGGAATCCGTGTGCAGGGACTCTGCCTGTCTCTGCCAGGCCAGGCTCTGCACGCGCAGCGCTCGCTGCACGCGTCGACTTTGACTTTGACTTCCGCGACGGTTTAGCGCCTCGGTCCCAGGGACTCAGGGACGCGGCCAAGGCGAGGCGAGGCAAGGCGAGGCAAGCCCAAGGCCCCTAGGCCGAGGGCTGGCGGTGTCTGCCTGCCTGCCCGCCTGCTTGCAGTGTAGTCTCACGGAGGCACCGACACCGACTTGACCCGAATGAAACCGATTCACACCGCCCGGCGCGCGTGTCAGCACACGCTGTCCCAACCTCGCGCACAGTCCTAGAATAGCGTGCAGGATCCTAGAACTCTACTTTTGATTCCGGGGAGTCGCTCCGTCGCTCTGTCTCTCTCGCATCCCTGCGGGACGCCGCATGAGTGCGACAGAGACAGAGCGACGAGACGACTCTTGGTAATCAGTGTGCAGGTTCGATTAGATTTACGCACGTGTCGGTATGCGGAGTCAAATAAGTCAAGGTCGCACAGTGGGCCAGAAGGCCGGTGGAGGCGGCCAAAACTCTAGACGCGTTTTGAGCTCCAGAGTCGCTAAACAGGGCTCGAACCGAACGTGCGACCCCACCAATGGACTGCTCTCCGAACGAGGAATCCATTGGTGGGGTCACACGTTCGGTTCGAGTCCCATTTAGCGACTCTGGAGCTCAAAACGCGTCTCGAGTTTTGGCCGCCTCCACCGGTCTTCTGGCCCACTGTGGGTCGGGAATCAGCATGGGGTAGCCAGTAATAGAGCGATGCGATCCGCGCTGCTTTTTGCGACCTCGTGCCTATGAACGTGAACTGTGCGACAGTGGGGAGGTTTTTGTTTCCAGGGTGGATCCAGGCCGTCCTTGCAGTGCTGCGGACACCTTTCGTCGATGATTGACCACGTGTTGCCACGTGCTGGACGAAGGTCCGAAGGCCCGAAGGCCCGAAGGTGCCGGAGGTTGGTTTAAGGCCTTCCCTCTCCCTTCCCCGGGGTGCAAATACGGCAGGAGGGGAAGGGGGGGGGGAGTTAGGGGCTGCGTTGCCATGCCAACCGAACGACGTCACGGCGTCACCGCCTCGCCCGCTTCGCCCCTCCGGTCAACAAAGTGTCGGGGTGGCAGCGAATGATACGTCCCTTGACGGGCGAGCGAGGGTGCTTCGGAAAAAAGGAGGAGAAGGAGGGGTCGTAATAGGAGCCGTCAGCGCTGGCAGCCGGGCGGTGGACCGGCTAGGAGCGTTCCCTATTGGAACACACGTTATTTCACGCCGGTCGCTTCGAATTTGAATAGAAGCACGTGATAGGCTGGCTGGGCCACAAATGGTCACCTCAGCTTCAGACCGCTGCTGTTGCTGGCTGCGGCCATCCTCTTTTTTTTGTGGGGGGGGGGGGCTTTTGGAGCGCTTAAAGATCATGTGTGGTCTATAGCCCTTAATGGTAATAATAGCGAGGTAGGCCACCGCTCTATCCTGCAGCACCGCGGCCAGGAGGCGGTGGCCTACCCAGCAAGGCGTTCGAGCCCCTCTGGCCGAAGTGTTCGGTAAACAGCACGTTCGTGTCCTTCTACTGGCACTAGCTCAAGGCGGGGCCTTGTGGGTCACGCGTAAAAGTGGCTCAGAGCGCAGAGGAAGAGGCCGTCGCGATAGAGGATCAAGGTTTCCTTAGTCTCGGAAGCCCATTTCAGGTGTGATTGGTGTCAGGAGAATAAACTTGAACCACTATGTAGTATTAAACACTTTAATAATTTAATACCATATAAAAACATACAAAGATTGAATTAATATCTTATCTAACCATCCTTTAGTAGTCAGTTGTACAATTTATCTTTTCAAGATGAGAATAGAAGCTAAAATATACAGGTAGAAAATACCAACAAGCCAAGTCACTGGTGCAAAGCTCCTTTTACATCAAGGCAGTGTAAAGAATTTACAGTGAAATGATATTTTGAGCTTAAGTTCTATGGCCATTGTTTATAAATTTGATTAAATTATGACGTAGAGCACCAGTGCTTGGTTTGAAAAATGCACATCGTGTTTCAATTTAAGATAGGCTGCTTCTCAGAGCAAAGGGTCCCGAAGTATGACAAAATGTATTCAAGTGCCATGGCCTGCACAAAAATGCAATAAGCAATAGATAAACAAAGAATAAAAACTACTCTTTTTTGGAAACACAAATTTCATTTGTCGAGCCAGTTCATTAATGAACAAGAGAGACAAATTAGACGCATTACAAGATATCATATCTACATTAGTATTTTTTAAAATCTCATAATCATAATTAATACAGAACTATGCATTGCAAAATAATTAACAAACAATGTAAATCACGGGAGGTACAAATTTTTCACAACTAACTGCACAATCCTTTACCTGGACAGTCAAGGAAAACCACAAGCACCAACGAGAAATTATAAAAAGAATGTGATAATGCACGACACACACAATCAATAGCAAAACTTCCGAGACAAAATATATCATAATATCAAATAACATGATGGTAGTTGGAAACATTCAAATAAAAATTTCAGTCACAATTGATAGACATAAATATTGTAAGTTAGGGTCGAGCTGGTCACAGCCTTCAAAAATAAATTACTCATTGTATCAACTGCGATATCCAAACCCCAGGAAAGCAAAGCCAATCACAAAATGAACTGTACTTAAAATAATCATTCCTATTGAATGCCATCTAAGTTATCTAGAATGTTTTTCTTTGAATTGCTCTGTGTCCCTCTTCATCAAATTCTCTCTTGGACACCCACATCCGTTTGAATGTGTCCAAGGATGCCAGAATTGATCCACCAATCCATGTGGAGTAAAGACGTTCTTGAGGTGCAGATATCTGTTTGAAAGAGAGACAATTAGTATTGATTAGTGTAATGAAAGATTCCTCATTTAAAAAAGAGGGCAAAAGGTTCTTAATTTCTAACTTACCCTGATTTTTACATCTTTGGGAGCAAGCTTTTTGATTTCTGATAGAAGGCGATCTCCAAAGCCCTGAAAATGTGGATCAGATAAATGAACAATGGGCATAAGACAGAAGTTTTGACCAATAGAATCATAGCCATAGCTCAATAAAAGGGTATGGAAAACAAAATTTTAAGGCTATTACCTTGTATAAAGTAGAACCTCCAGATAAGACAATATTTTGGAAAAGAACTTTCCTAAGATCTAGATCAGACTTTGTGATTGAAAACAGTAAGACTTCATGAAGTCCCTCACATTCCTCTCCTATCAAGTCTGGTCTGAACAAAACTTCTGGAGCACGGAAACGCGCAGAGCCAATCTAAAGTCACAATAAAAGAAAGATTAAATTAATTTAATGATTTTACAGTACAGACATTGAGTTTGAAAAACCTTATGGACCAAACTTCACCTCAAGTTTGCTACCATCAGGAAGGGTGAATTGGAATTTCTCTGAATCCATAGTTTCCTCTTTCAAAGGCTGATTTGCCAGGAAACAACACTTTTCTTTAATTGTACGGACTGTTTCAAATTCAGCAGTAGTTCGGAAGTTAACTCCTTCCTTCCGTAATAAAAGCCTAAGAACAAAGAGAAAGTGTCAAAATAGAAAAGAAATAAATTGGGGGGAAAAAAGCACAATTTAGAGATGATAATAGAAATTACCTCAAGTGCCTAGTGACATCCCTGCCGGCAACATCGACTCTCATGATACTGTGGGGCATGGCAAAACCCTCATAAATGGGCACAGCATGGGTGACCCCATCACCAGCATCCAGAACGACACCTGTTGTACGTCCAGTGGCATACCTAAAACATTACACATTTTGTTCATCAAGTTGTGAAATAAAACACTTAGACAAAACAGAAACAAAAAATGTTTCAACAACCCAAATTTTTTAAGGGGTTATAATAACATTTAGTTTTTTTTTTTGTTTTTAAATTAAGAAAATTTTAGACTTACAAGCTCAAGACAGCTTGCATGGACACAAACAGAGCAGGAACATTGAGAGATTCAAAGAATATTTCTGCAGCCTTTTCTCTGTCTTTCTTCGGATTTAAAGGAGCTTCCGTCAGAAGAACAGGGTGCTCCTCAGCAAATGCCTGAAGTTGATCATTACTGAAACATTTAAATAAGCAAAATTAATAAACCACAATTCACCTAATAACGCATTGACTCAGGCACATCAAAACTGGTTAAGGGTACCTGTAAATGTACTGCCAGATGCGTTCCATATCATTCCAGTCAGTGACAATGCCGTGTTCCATAGGGTAACGAATGCTAAGCAGACCACGATGTTCTTCCGCCTTGGGGCCCACAAACAAATCACCTTCTAGGGCGCCAGCCATGACACGTACATGTTTAGGCCTTCCAATGCTAAAAGAAAAGGTAAGATCCAGCGATTTAATTGACAGCTGACTATGTATGAAAGGGAAGTGTCACAAGATGAAAATCAAAGTACTCACTAATTCGGGAAGCAGCATTTAGGAACTTGGTCACCAGCGAATCCCGCTTTGATGACTCCAGATCCCTGCAAAACCGTAAAATAAAGTGTAAACATGGGACTGGCAACATAAAGGGCCGTCACAAAGGTGTTCCGGACATGTCATGTACAGGTTAGGTTCATTATCAACATAAGTTGACTTACATTGTCAATGACCACCGGCTGATTCACAATAGCATCATAGGGCTCCATCGTGGTAGCTAAGAATTCTACTTTTTGCAAAGACTTGAAGCCGTAGCGCCGTTGCTACTGGTCTACTAAGAATCTGACTGCTATTACCAGCCGACTAGCCTAACTAGCACGTCAAACTGGACTTGGACGATAACTGCACTCAACCGTTCAAGTGTCCAGCTGTTTTCATCAACACATTCTGTCAGGCCCAACTAAATTCATTTTTCAACAAAAGTGAAAATAGGCAATGGCTGGCTTTTTCAAAGTACTGTGACACTTGACAACCCAAAACTTAACCTCCTGCTCGGTTTCTTGAGAGGGGCGGGGGCAGGGAGGGGAGGGGGGAAGGCAGTGAGGGGGAGGAGGAGGGGGGACGGGGAAGGCAGAAGAAGGTGCGGCCGTCGCGTCACGAAACACTAAAATGTTGCCACATGACTCGTGAAGCACTGGCACTCGGACTGGGTTGAAGGGCTTTCAGTCATTTTAGGGTTTGGTCAGAAGTGTGCGCGAAGTCTGAAAAATTCCAATCAACTTTGGTTGAAGGAAGATGAAAGTTCGGCAATAATTTGGAAAAGGACGCGTGTAGTGGTCAAGCTGCATGGCGGCAAGGCGCGCCTGAATTCAAACGCTTTCGGCTCGAGACGTGTGGACTTGTTGGTCGAGGCCAGTCCGCAGTGTCATGTTTGAGGAGCAGCTTTTATGTGAGCCCCGGAAAGTGCCCATCCTTTCGCTCACCTTTCTTTAAAAAATGTATCACCCTCCCCATTGGTGCAATCCCTCTCAAAAATAATCACAACAGAACTTAAGGAAAGGAGAATTATTCTCATTTATTTGCATCGATAATTATATCACAAATATAAATAAGTTGGCTCTATTTTTCTATCAGTCGACATAGATGACTTTGGAACATCTACACAAAACAAATATATAATTAGAGTGAAATGCTAAGTAAAAATCGTTGATAAAAGTTGATGAATGGTTCATCACAAATCACTAAAAAAACACAAATAATCAAATGCAGCCTCATGAAACCAATATTCCAGAACTCAGTCAAACTAGATGAACAGAATACAACAATGCTCCTCTATGTGCAGTACATAAATAATAAGGTCTACAGGTTGAATCTCTCCACACAAAAGTCTTGACCATCATCACTCCATCAAAAATTTTTAGTTTTAAAGCATAAATAAGTCTTAAAAATAGAAGAGAAGGGAAGAATCCTTAACTTTTAAACATCAATTTCTTTCAAGTCTTATTTACACACTCTTGAAGATTAAGGCACAGGGTTGCCTGTCAGCTATGGGCTGACAAGTCTTCACAATATGTTTCTATTAAATATCACGATATTTATGCTTCTTTGATTTTGACATTAGAAGCATTTAGGAAGTCTCTTCAATGGTCTCACTTGCTTCCATTTTGTTGCTTGCCTTCCCCAAACTTTGCCTTTTGCCGTTTCACAAAGTCTCTTGCCAGTTTGTCTCCTTGACGGTGCTCCAAAGCTTTCATCACATCTGATTCTGAAATAAATCGAAAGAGGTCAGAAAAAAATCTTCTGTTGATTCAAAATTAAAACGAATGGTAAATTATAGACTACCTAAGACATTTTGGGGTCTGTGGAGTTTCAAGTGGACCTGTGGTAATGTCTGGAGACTAGTAGAAGCGTCATTTTCTGGTATGTCTTCAAATGAATGGAAAGCTTCAGCTATAAATTCATTGCCAAGGAAATCTTGATCTTTCAAAATAAATGCTATGATGCCTCGAGCTCTTTGTTCTGGAGTTAAAGGACTGGAGAAAAAAATATAGACAATCAATAAAAATGCCATTTAAGTTGCCAGACTTCAAATTGACAAATGTACTTACATGTGGAAAGTTTCATCAAACAAGGGGAAGAGATTTTTCTTGTGTGTCTTTGTACGTGGTTTTTGCACATTTACAAATTTATCTTCCGGCACGAGATGAATTTTGACATAAGGGTCACAAGAACCTGTCAACAAAAAAAAATATGTATTTAATTATTTCCCTTCTTAAATTGAGGCATTTCACTTGAGGGAAAGACTCTGCTCACCATTCGAATCCATAGGTTTAATATTTCTCGCATTCATGATTTCAATGCTCAAAGCATTATCAACAAACTGGGCACGGATTGTCAAAAGGCCTTGATAAGGCGCGTCTCCCATGGACTGCAATTTTTTCTGCTCCATAAGCCTTTGTACATAAAACTGGTAAGAGAGTTCCGGTGTTTCCATACCATGGAGACGTAAAATTCGCTCCACTCGTCTCAGTTTACTGTGCTTATCGACAGAGGAATCAATGACATCATCATTCTGCACTTGTTTCATGCCATTCAACTGGAGAGCAAAAAAAAAAAGACAAATTATTATTACAAAACATTCTTTTTTTGGATCTTTATTTCTGTTTTTTTATAAACAATACCTGCTCAATTTGTTGTTGTTCTTGCAGTTGCTGTTGCAGATCTCCCTGCCTGAAGAATCCAATCAAAATGTTCAATGTTTCATGGAGATTTGAGAAAAAGGAAGGGGGCTTGCGTTTCTGCAAAAGAAGTGATAACCAGTTTTTCATTTAATTGGTCACCAAAAATTGGCAACAGAACCAAAACTTCCTCTAACTTACCTCAAGACTACTTTCAACTAGCTCTGAGAGAATATTTGACACATTGTCCCACATAATTGATAGGATTCTCTCAAAATTCTCTGTATTTAATTCTGAGTGGAGCATAACTAAGTTTTCATCTAAGTATTGCATTAAACGATCCACAGCATTGCTGTCCTGGTTAAGAAGATCTGCACCTTCTTGAAGGAATCGCTTGATTGCTGGATCCATCTTGAATTTCCAAAAAAGTAAGTATTATTACAAAAGCAAAAATTTGGAATTTGAAAAGTTGAAACAGATTTTCTTTACCTTGTTGGCAACAATGAGTAATAAATCAATGATTTTATTCCGAACGACATCAATGGAGTTTTCAATGATACCACTAAGTGTGCCTTTGCATTGCTCTGCAGCAGCTACTGATCGAAAATCGGCAAGGGCTTTGACTATGTTGTCCATGCCTAGTTCAGCAACAAATGGCTGAATACTTTGGCGCACATAGTCAATGTTATTGATGGCGAGGCACCACTGCAGAAAACCAACAGATCAATAAATAAATAGATAAATTCATAATTTATAAAACTTCAAACGTAGGCTGCCTTCCTCCCACCTCTTGAGTGACTTGAAATTTTTTTTCATGAACTGTTCCCTGGTTTGTTTCACCCATGCCATCAACCTTCTGGCTCATATTGTCAGCATAAACCTCAGAACATTTGCAAATATCCTGAAACAAGTCATGGAAAAAGGCAATGCTTAAAACAGAACAACAAAATATATGACAGGAAGTCAAAATGGCTGTCCACTTACATCAATAATTTTGAGCACAAATGTGTATGATCCCTCAACATCCGGCCAAGCAAGTTGTTGCCAAAATATTTTTATCTGGAAAATTTGAAGAAAATTAACAACACACATTTGTGTACTTGGTAAAACCTTTCCAGAATTTTAGCTAATACCTGATAAAAAATGGCAAAGGTGTCCACAGCTGAGGAACTGTACTTCACACTGGAATCCACAGGAACTAATGTATCCAGCTCTACAGCCTTTTTCACTCTTTGAACAGCTTTGTAACAAGCTATGTCAAGCCACTGAGCCACACCGTGGTAAAACCAATTGTGAAATTTGGCAATTTGGAAAGAGTCCACATCATTGGGGCATAAAGTACTACCTATGCTGTTATAAGAAAAAAACAAAGACAACTCAATTTATAAATTGGTAATTTTAAAAAAGGGAAAGGGATAGGGAAAAAAGACAACTTACAGGGATAATCTCTGGAGTGCCAGGTAGAGCTCAAACAATGTAGTGCCCATGGACAGCGGTTCCTCCCTTTCTAAGTTAATTCTGGGATCAGAGTCGTTGATGCGAATAGGTCGCAGCTGCCCACAAACATCCTTCACCACTGGCTCTGCTTCTTCACACACCTAGAATTGAACAAGCTAACATGTGAGCAATGTGCATTATGATATTCACAACTATTAGTTATTTAAAAAGGTCCAACTCACTTTCTCCTCATACACTTTGTACAATATACTTGAATAAGCAAGACCAATCCCCCTAAAAAAAAAAAAATTAAAAATGGTTATTGATTTAAAATATTAAAGTTATTTTATTTTTCCACAGCCCATGTTTTTTAAAACTTACTTAAGGAAAATTTTGTCATGATATTCGATGGCTTTTGTCAAGTCAGAACGGACTAACTGGACAAGCTTGATTACATGCCTCAATGAATCTTCTTGAGTTGGTCCATCAGCAGTATTGTTTTCTAGTACATAGCACAACCTGGAGAATGAAAAGTGGAATTTAACGAAAAACATAAAAGATAGTATGTCAAGGTTCGGTATAATTGAAATGGTACCCACCAATCCTCAGCGCCATGCTTCACAGCTTCAGTCAGTACATGACTAATATCACAGCTTGACTGATCTGACTGGTTGAGCCAACCATATACTGAAGAGGGGAATAGATCTAAGCCTTCAGGTACAGGAAGGGGCTTAAGACAAGATAGAGTGCTGAGAAAAAAAGAAGATATAAATTATTTACTAGGAAGTGATTAATTTGCAACGTAATAATTATACTCTCTCTACATACGTGACAATGCCAGATAGTTGAGTTAAAGTGTTTCTGTCACAGTTTGACAGCTTGCGTAACCTTCTGATGGAGTTAAGGCAAGATGGTAAAAACTTCTTGGTTGCATCCCAAAAATGCTTCACCTAAAAGAAATGAAGGACAATGCGTTACAGACAGTTGGGTACTCAACAAAAATTGTCTATACGCATCTCAAGATTCAATTTAGTGACATAAGTACCTCCTCTGGGGACAAATTTCCCTCTTCGAGAGGTTTCTTCAGCTTGTTAGCAAGTTGAGAAAATAGGGCAAAGCTCAAGGGATGGTCGACGTGCACCGAACAGAATTCCATCCAGCGAGCCAGAGTCTCGTCAGTGGATGACAGGCCGCTCTGAACGGCGTGCTGTCGGATGATGGTGGTGGCAAGCTCATCGAACTCACCACACCAAGCATAGGGCTCAAGCTGGAGGCAGAGAAAAACGCAACACGATTGGTAAAGGTAAAGTTGAAAAGAAAAAAAAGGCTGCAACAAGTTGGGTTCGTACTACCTTGGCCTTTTCCAGGTGGTGCATCAGTAGAAGCCGCAGCAGGTGCCTGTGTTCCTGGCGCGCCACTTGCGTGTCCTTCTCCGCGCCAAATGCCATGTGCAGCTTGATGACGCCCTGCTTCTTCGTCTTGTTCTTCTTCTCCAGGTTGACCCACTGTGTTTGGCCGCCGGTCGCGATGCACTGGAAAACCAAGAAAAAGGCGTTATTTCATGGGGGTGGGGTCGCCCTGAAGGCGGCCAAGTCGCCTGGAAGGTGGACAACCAGTCGCACTGTGCCCCTGCAGGTCGGCAACTTTGGCGACACCCCCATCCAGACTCACGTTGAGGTTGATCTGGGCCGTGCCGATGTACTCGTTGTCGTGCTTGCCCGTCGAGGCCGTGACGGCGATCTCCTTGACCAGCTTGCGCAGTCCGCGCACGCCCTTCACGTCCGTCAGCTTGCTCATCTTCTCGCGCACCGTCTCGGCGGGGTCGAAGTCCCACACCTCCACGAACAGCACGTCGTCCGTGGCGTTGTGCACCGGCCTGCAGCGCGGCAATATCGCGGTCACACAGTGGGCCAGAAGGCCGGTGGGGGCGGCCAAAACTCTAGACGCGTTTTGAGCTCTAGAGTCGCTAAATGGGATTCGAATCGAACGTGTGACCCCACCAATGGGTTCCTCGTTCGGAGAGCAATCCATTGGTGGGGCCACACGTTCGGTTCGAGTCCTGTTTAGCGACTCTGGAGCTCAAAACGCGTCTAGAGTGCCGCCTACACCGGTCTTCTGGCCCACTGTGGGTCACTCCAAGTCACTGGTGTGTCATGCAGGTTGTCCAAGACAACGACGGGGACATACAGCGAGAAGTACTCCATCCAGCACGGCGTCAGCGTCTCCGTCTTGACGGACGTGTTGTAGCGGTGCGTGGGCGCCGAAGACAAGTACAGCGTGCAGAAGGGGTCGCACATGCCTGCAACAGACGCGTGTACGCGTTGCACGTCACTGTGTCTCCGTCGCACTCACAGGGCAAGGGGCAAGCACTTACCGTTAGAATCCTTGGGTTTCAGGTCCTGGGCTTCCATCACCTCCACGTTGAGGACGATTTTCGGAGCCTGGAAACGACAACAGCGTGGCGCTTAGAGGAGCAGCTTCAGCTTAATTGTTTCATAGCGCTCTCTCTCTCTCTCTCTCTCTCTCTCTCTCTCTCTCTCTCTCTCTCTCTCTCTCTCTCTTCTCTCTTTCTCTCTCTTTCTCTCTCTTTCTCTCTCTTTCTCTCTCCTTTTCTCTCTCTCTCTCTCTCTCTCTCTCTCTCTCTCTCTCTCTCTCTCTCTCTCTCTCTCTCGCACCTCCTTGGCCTCCACGTTGCCCATGAGCTGAGCGTGCTTCTCGTCGTCGATCTTGAAGGCCTCCTGCAGCAGGCGGCAGAGGTCGGAGCGGTCGCTGGCCGTGGTCACGTCGCTGCCCACGTTGTGGATCAACAAGTAGAGCACCTCGCTGTACAGCTCCTCGACCTGGCGAAGAAAGGACGACAAGAGTGAGAGTGAGGAACCACCGAGACACACACACACACCCATAACTTATCGTCAGTGTGGTTTATTCGCACTGAACCAAGAAGGACGATTTTTGTTGCCAGTAAACATTTATTTGCCAGCACCATTTTGACCAGGAAGCGGTACGCGGGCGCCAGGAGGGACCCGGGTAGCCCCTCGGGCAGCTTGACAGGCCAACTCGGAGCCCGAGTAGGCCACGTCCACGGACGGGAGGCGCGCGGGGGGCAGCATTGACAGTTTGACAGGACAAGGCGACGGCGAAGAAGGAGAAGTCACTGGAGGGGTTTGGCGAGGCCTGGCACGGCCACGGAGGCATTGTCAACCGCGTCGTCATGGGAGCGTCCACCAACCGCCAAGTCCCGTCCCCCCAGCCCCAGCCCCAGGGACACACGTTCGGTGATTGACGCGTTTGTCGAGTGGGTGCCCAGACCACGAGCGGCCCTCAGGGGCGCAAAATAAACAAACAAATCCAACTTTGCGGACTAACAAAGTCGTGCGTGTGAATTAATATGCAAATCCACGGGTGACCACTCCAGCCATTACCTGTCAGTCACCCCGTCAAACAGCCTGTCAATCACTTCACCCGAGGAGCGCGCCTGACGCCTGCGAAGCCGAGGGTAGGCCAGCCCGCCGAGCGCCGCTGCGCTGTAAAACCTGGTTGCCTACCCGCCGTCTCGCAGGCGCTCCGGGCCCGTCTCACTTTCTGGGTCCCAGGCTCGGGGTTCGAATCCCGGACTCTCATTTATTTTGGTGCTGCAGTCGCCGGCGCCGTCGGCGTCATCGCGCGCCCGGCGGCCTTGCCCCGGTTGCCGCGGGCCTGCCGCGGGCCGACGACGCGTGGACGCTCCCTGGCCGAGGGCCAGCAGGGCTAGCCCGGCCTGCAGTGCGAAAGGGCGCGTCGCGTCTAGGCCCTTACAGTGTCGCCGCAGTGCAGGGCCACGGCAAGGGCCACGGTGAAGGGCAGCCGCACCACAGTGGCCCAGAAGACCGGTGGGGGTGGCCAAAACTCTAGAAGCGTTTTTGAGCTCCAGAGTCTCTAAGTAGGACTCGAACCGAGCGTGTGACCCCACCAATGGATTGCTCTTCGAACGAGGAATCCATTGGTGGGGTCACACGCTCGGTTCGAGTCCTGTTTGGCGACGCTGGAGCTCAAAACGCGTCTAGAGTTTTGGCCGCCTCCTCCGGTCTTCTGGCCCACTGTGCGCACGGCAGCGCCAACAAACAGCCGGACCGAAATACGAAAACGCGGAGCCGCCTCGGCCATCCGGTCATCAGCGAGCGGTCAAGCCAATCCGTCGTGGGGGAAGCACTTGCTGAATGCCGGGGCGGTTATCCCATTGAAGCGTGGCGCGGCAGAGCGTGGGTGGGCGGCACTCGTCTCTCTCGCACGCTGGTCGCGCTGCCCTTCGCACCTCCACACGTACCGTCATAGAGTCGATGATCTGCTGCCTGCGGCGCTGCAGCGCGTCCTTGCACACGCCCCTGAAGTGGTGCGTGGCGCGCACCATGTTCCGGGCGCGGCTCAGCAGCCCGGCGCCGTGGCCGGAGGCGCGGTGGCCCGCCGCCCCGTTGGCCCTGCCGTTGGCCACGCCGTTGGGCACCCCGTTGGCGGCGCGCAGCCTCGGCAAGGTGCTGCAGCTGCCCGGCCAGCCCGCCATCCCCACCAGCCCGCCGCCCGGAGGGGTGCGGTCCCTGCCGCCGGAGTGCAGCGCCTGCATGGAGCCGGCCACCCGCCTCTCGCGCGTCTCCAGCAGCCCCGGCTGCATCCACGCCCAGCTGCGCTGCTGCCGCGCGGCCAGCCCCTCGACGCCGTCCTTGGGGGCGTCCACGTCGCCCGCGTCCACGGAGCCGCCGCCCGGTACGGAGCGCCGCGGCTGGCCCTGCCTGGAGCGCGACCGCGACCTGGGCCTGGCCCGCGGCGGCGCGCTCTCCGAGACCGAGGCGACCGTGGCCACGCTGGCCAGCGAGAAGGTGCTGGCGCGCGCGGCGGCGGGCGGACGCGGCGGCGGCGCGGCGGGCTGCCCCTTCACCCTGGACACCAAGCCCACGACGCCGTCCAGGACGCCGTCCAGGCACGCCTGGAAGTAGGTGCACATCGCGGCGGCGGCGGCGCGAAGTCACGCGCGCGTCGAGTCACGCATTCGCGCGTTCGCGTTGGCACGCGCGGAAAGGGCACCACGACGGCGAGGTCCCCGACGCCCTTTGGCTGCCCGTCGGTGGCGGACTGCCGAGCCGAGCCGCCCTGGCCGCCCCGCCGAGGAGCTGGGCGGGCGTCGGGCACAGCCAGGCACAGCGCACACAGCGTCGGGCGGGCGCCAGGCCCGAAGGACCCCAGAGCACAGCCCTGGCAGCCCTCGCCCACCGCCGCCGCGCCGCCCGGCTCCGCCCCCAGGGAAGTACCGCGCAGGCCGGGCGCCATGCCGTCTCTCTCGCACCCTTACGGGACACCCCATGAGTGCGAAAGAGACAGAGCGACGCCTCGCCCACTTGCCAGCCAGGATCGCTTACATTTACCCAACTAAATCGACTCCAAGTACCGACTCGTTTGGTTCAAAGAGCGGTTTCAGCGCTCGGTTCGCCGCACGGACTTCCCTGCTTCTTGTTCGGATCGTTTAATTTTGGCGCGGGAACCAGGAGCCCGGTGCGATGGCGCAAGGTGGCCGCCTAGCGTGACCCGGTCCTCGCACAGTGGGCCAGAAGACGGGTGGAGGCGGCCAAAACTCCAGACGCGTTTTGAGCTCCGAGTCGCTAAATGGGACTCGAATCGAACGTGTGACCCCACCAATGGATTCCTCGTTCGGAGAGCAATCCATTGGTGGGGTCACACGCTCGGTTCGAGTCCTGTTTAGCGACTCTGGAGCTCAAAACGCGTCTAGAGTTTTGGCCGCCTCCGCCGGTCTTCTGGCCCACTGTGCCTCGGAGGCGTCCGCCCGCGAGTCAGCGGTGGCGGACGCTAGACGGCCGCCGCCGCACAGGTAGGTGGATAGATAGACAACACATCTTTTCGCCAATGGGCGCCCGAAGCCGTTTGCAAAGCCGCCCGTTCCCCGCGCCGCCGCGCAAGTCCCCCCCCCCCCCCGCCTCGCTATGAATAGAAGGCACCCCCTGCCGCCCCGCTCCTCCCCTCTAGAGCAAACATGTGGGTGGTGCAGCATAGGCGTTGAAATCGAGAAAGCAGTGTGGGGGCGAACGGCCCAGCGGTCGAACGGTGCGCGGCGTACTCGTCAAGGGCGGATCCAGACGGCCCGAAGGAGGGGGGCACTCTTTGCGTACACCACCTATCATACAAATCATCTGAGACCTCCCAATTGGATATTGGAAGGTATCGGGAGATCAGCCAGAGCCAGGCCATTCGAGATCTCGTTTTGCTCGTTGCGTTTTGCCTCCTCGCCGCCGGCAGCGCCGTGAGATTCTGGCGCTGTTTACCAGGGAGGTCGAGGGGCGAGCGGCCAAGCGGCCGTGCTGTTTACCGGCTATCTGGCCCCGTTTGGGTGGAGCGTGGAACGCGTGGAACCGGCCGGGGCGGCACTAAACCGACTAAACCAGCACCAACGCGGTTCGCTGCACCCTGCACTCGCAGCTGCACCGTCGAGACGGGACTCGTCGGCGACTGCGGAAAGAGGTGGTGCGAGTGCGACGTGCGAAGGCAGCAAACTCCAGCGGGCGGTGCGATAATATACAACTTGGCACGGTTGAAGTCGGCTTGCTGTGTGCTCCGCTGGCCAAAATAAAGGCGTCTTTTAGAGCGGGCTGCTTGTCTGTGACTTGACTGACATCTCTCTGTACAGGCCGTACGTACACTCTAAATGTAGGGTGCCCAGTAACTGGGCGCCTTTGTCGCCTGCCCCACTTTTTAGGGCGCCAAATGTCGCCCAGTTTCTGGGCACCTTTGTCGCCTAGTCTTGGGTTGGACAAACCATAAGGAACCTACCTTCACCCATGGCTCAGCAGCGACTAAGGTGCCAAAGGTGCCCAGAATCTGGGCACCTTAGTCGCCCAGGAACTAGACACCTGTGCATGCTCTGCAATGGGAGAGGGCCGGTTACTGCATGATTAGTCCACCCCGAGACTGGGCGACAAAGGTGCCCAGAAACTGGGCGACATTTGGCACCCTAAAAAGTGGGGCGGGCGACAAAGGCGCCCAGTTACTGGGCACCCTACATTTAGAGTGTACGTACGTACGCACCCTTTCTCCCCTCATACACAAACACACATGCGCACGGACTGCCGATTGACGCCAGAGGGTGCGAGTACCCCGGCCTGCTAACGCTGCAACACTGTAAGGCCGGTTTGCCTGGATCTTTTCACACGGCGGAGCGGTACAGCCACTTTGCTGCCTGTCTGTTAGAAAGGCGACGTAAGGCTCCACACTCCGAGAGCTTCGCCAGATGGGGCTCCAAAAATGAGGGCCAAAGACCAGCTTTGCTTTGCTTGCGAGTGTACCGCTTGTCTGGCTGGTGCGCCGCGGCGCGCCACGGTCGAACGGCAAGCACCCGAGGCGGACGGAGTCGAGAATTCCTCCCTTTGCGATTCCTTTTCGGGGGAACGGCAACGAACCCATTTGCACCCTTCGCTTCGGCTTACTCACATTCATGCCCACGAAGTCAGAGATGTTCTCCTGCTTGACGGCCTCCTCGGTCTCCGAGTCGGACTGGTCCATGCGCGCCGTGCCGTCGACCTGGAGGCCGCCGACGGCCTCCCCCAGGGCGTCGGCCAGCGTGGGGTCCTTGCCGGGGTCCGCGGCCGCGTCCTCCCCGGACACGGCCTCGGCCACGGAGCAGGCGGCCATGGGGGCGGCGCCGAGCTGGTGGCTGCGCGCCACACTGCAAGTGGCCACGTCGTCGGCGCGCTGCGTCTCCCCCAGCAGCGTGCCGAACTTCTCGAAGAAGCCATCGTCGAGCTCCTGGACCCTGCGAGAGAGAAGATGGATTAGTTTTCGACTGGCCAGGCTCAGGGCACGGCGACAACACAGCACAGGTCTTCCGGGAGCGGGCAGGCAACCATCAGTACAGTCCGGCACGACGGTTTGCCAGGAAATACCCCACGCCTCTGGTGGCCCCGGCGATACTCCGCGCTCGGCCGGCAGGGGGTATGGCCGTGCGCTGGGCCGAGGCGCTCCGTCTTTCAAATCAATCATGCAAGAGGTCGCGGTTCACGACGGCGCGCCGCGCGGCCATGGCGGTGTACACTGTGCCGCCGGGCCGTGCTCGGATTCGGCTTTCTCCGCGTGGCCCCGGATCGGCCCGGACGCGACGGGCGTGCTGCAAGGACGCCGACGACGGCCTCGCCCACGTCGTCGCCGCGCACGCACAGTGGGCCAGAAGACCGATGGAAGCGGCCAAAACTCTTGACGCGTTTTGAGCTCCAGAGTGGCTAAATGGGACTCGAACCCAACGTGTGACCCCACCAATGGATTCCTCGTTCGGAGAGCAATCCATTGGTGGGGTCACACGTCCGATTCGAGTCCAATTTAGCGACTCTGGAGCTCAAAACGCGTCTAGAGTTTTGGCCGCCTCCGCCGGTCTTCTGGCCCACTGTGGCACGCCCACCTGAGTCCACTGCTCTGCTCATTCATTCTCCGGCCCAATATCCCCCCGCTCTTCCTCGGGCTCCACGAGTCCGCCAGCGACGAGAAGCGCGCCGGCAACGTTGTACGTGGCGGCCATGGCCGATTCAGGCAGTCCTACACTAGGAAGCGTAGGTAGCGTGAGAGTCCAAGGCGCCACTGGCTGAGCCAGTGCTTTCGTCGCTTCGTCTCTCTCGCGATCCGGTGAGACGCCTGATGAGTGCGAGAGAGACTGAATAAGCCCGCTGGACCGTCACTGTCGGGGGCTGCCTACCCTCTGGGCAGCTGTCAGCGACGGAAAACGAAACGCCGCCGAGGCGCCGCCGGGATTCGAACCCGACCCGCGCATTGAGATCTCCACGCCACGCCCTCATGGAAGCCAGCGCGTCCTTGGCGTAGACAGGCCGTGCCTGGCCGTGCCGTGAATCAAAACTCCGGGGACTTTAGAGGCCTTGCAGCGTGCGCGGAGGGGGCGGGCGTAAACCGCCAGGCCGTGGCGCGGCGGCGCGGCGAGCCCACTCTCCAGGTCCTTCAGGCGGGGGCCTGCAGCAGACTCATGCCGCGGGTCTGTCTCTCTCGCACTCGTGGGGTGTCCCGTCTAGGTGCGAGAGAGACAGAGCGACGACTGCAGCACCGCCACCGCACCGGCACCCACAGCAGCAAGGTGGCCCCATGACCCGCATCGGCTGCAACGCACATGCTTAGGGCTCTCTAGGGGGCCGTCCAGGAGCCTGCAGCCTGATTGAGCAGCTCATGGCCCTCGTGGACGCGTGGTCTAGGACCAGCCGTCTGATTCCGAGCACTGCTTTCGTCGCTCTGTCTCTCTCGCACTCATGGGGCGGTCCGTAGGGGTGCGAGAGAGACAGAGCGACGAAGCAGTGTTCGGGATGAGACGGCAAGCCGTCGCCCGGACGCAAGCCATGCAGCTTCCCGACGGCCCCGCCGGCACCAAGGCCCTCGTTATCAAGCATACGTGACTAATGACATAGGGGACCGCGGACAACCTGGAGCAAAGTGTGCCAGGTCCAGCGTCGCGCTGTCTCTCTCGCACCTTCACGGGGCGCCCCACGAGTGCGAGAGAGACTGGCACACTGGGCCCGCTGGAAAACGCGCAAGGTGAAACCATTTCAAAGCTCGCTGGCTGCGAAAGGACCGGCCGGCGGCACCATCGGCACGGACTCGGCGATGAGATCACCGGCTTCACTCGCGGCAACGCGTCGGCGCGGTCGGCGGTCGGTGCGGGACGTGCCGAGTCGAACACGCCAGAGTTCAAACCGCGGGCACGGCGGCACGGCCGGAGCGACATCCTGACGTCACATCGCTATCATACCAGTTCCTTTCGTTTCAGTTCGAAGAAGGCGGAGCGGAGTCTAGTTTGTGCGGATTCTTCTGGCGTGGCGGCGCCATCCAGCAGACTGTACCGAGTGGGAGGTCTCTCTGTCGCACTCACGGGGCGTCCCGTGAGGGTGCGAGAGAGACAGGCCGACGAAAGCGCTCCCTGCTGGTGGGCAGGCAGGCTGTGAGGTGGAGTGGCGTCCGCGGGGCACCACAGGCTCCCTGTGACTCAACTCGAAGGCCCCCACGCGTCAGGACAGTTCGACTAATCGCCCAAGTCGATTCTGAATCACCGCGCGGCGATGCATATTCGAGTGATAAGTACTCTCTTTGCGAATGCCCCCTGCTGCAACTTCGATAGCGACAGCTCTCGAAATAACATAGCAGCAGCCACCCGCGCACAGTGGGCGGTGGAGGCGGCCAAAACTCTAGACGCGTTTTGAGCTCCAGAGTCGCTAAACAGGGCTCGAACCGAACATGTGACCCCACCAATGGATGCCTCGTTCGGAGAGCAATCCATTGGTGGGGTCAAACGTTCGGTTGGAGTCCTGTTTAGCGACTCTGGAGCTCAAAACGCGTCCGGGATTTTGACAGCCGCCACAGGTCTTCTGGCCCACTGTGCCGCGCCTCGGTGGCCGTCGCCAACGAAGCAGTTTGTTCCGGTCGGTAAAATGATGCACCATACACTGTCGGTATTTTGTTTTTCGAGTCCCTCCCACTGGAGGCTCGGTGAGTCAGGCCCGCGAGACGCCTGCCCGGCAAGGCCGCGAGCCGCGCGCACTGTCCGCCCAGCACGGAGGAGGAAGGCCCCTCTTTGAGGCGCTCTTTCCCACAAGGGACCGTCGCCAAACGACTCCGCCGAGCTATTAAAGTGGGAGACATTAAACGTGGCGGAACTGGAGCAAGGGCTCGCTGCTTGGGGACGGGCCCTGCACGCCACGCTCCAGTGGCGCCAAGGCGACGATGCGGGGATAACACGCTGTAGAGCGAGAGAGAGAGAGAGAGGGAGAGAGAGGGGGAGAGAGAGAGGGGAAGAGAGAGAGAGGGGAGAGAGAGAGAGAGAGAGAGAGAGAGAGAGAGAGAGAGAGAGAGCAACTAGATTGGAGATGCAGGTGGGGGCGTCCGGTATTTTGGCACACACTGTCAGCCAGCACGTCATAGGTTTGTACGTGCTGGCAAGTCCGCATGGCGGACAAAACACGCTTAAGGCTTCGCAGCGCACGTTGGCTCCCCTGCTACCCTGGTAGTGCTGCAGGGCGGGAGGGAAGTACCACCGGCTTGATCCTCGGCCTGGCAGGCCGCTCCCTCTGGCGGGCAAACGCCGAACCCGAGGCGAAACCCCCGGTTGAAGCAGTGAGGCCAAAGCCAAAGGATTCGCTGTCAACCGGACGTTACCGGCGATCGTGCTCTTCGATGTCACTTTGACACTTGGCGCGTCACATGGGACCGACCAGTCGGCGGGCGCCTTACCGTCTTCCCAGCTGCTGCTTCTCGGCCTTCTCCTTCATCTGCTCGTAGAACGACTTCCACATCACTTCCTCGTTCATGGTGAGGCCGGTGTTGTCTCTCCTTCCGAGGTGGTCTTGTAGTCCGCGAGCGCGGTGGCTCGCCGATCACAGCGCGGGTCGAGACGGACTGCTGTCTCTAGGCGGCGCGGCGGAGCGGGCAGAGCCGCTGGTCGGGCACACTGGCGCGCAGAACCCAACCGCACTCAAACGGCCGGCCGGGACGAGTGCCAAAAATACGGTGACAGCCGGCCTGGACCGCCACTGCCACGCTCTGCTGTTGTTGTTGTTGTTCTTTCTGCTGCTGTCGCTGCCACTGCCGTCGGGGCGGTCGGTACACGCACCGCGATCACGACACCATAATCTGTGACCGGAAGGTGACCAACAACAACAACAACGAAGGGAAGGCGGCTTCCCTGCTGGCGCGTCGTCTGCTGGTTGTTGTTGTCGTTTGGGGTCGCGCGGCTGTGCGGCTAGTACTGGCGCGGTGCGAGCGGTGCGAGTGCGAGGGTCAAACGCCGACTGTCTGCTGCTCCGCGTCGCTCCGCGCTCCGCTGGCTGCCGCTGGCCGGCCGGGCCCCAGTCAATCCGATCCCCATGGCGGTGTCGCGGTGCTGCCCCATGGGGCGTGGGGGCCGGCCAGCAAGCCAGCAACAAGAAGAGGCAGGCACGGCGGCACGGCCCCAACGAACGCCGCACCGCGCCGGCTACGCGTCAAGCTGCCAACATTGCCGACTCAGCGCCGCCCGTGTTGCGTTGGCCGCACTGCCTCGGCGTGGTGCCGCGGTGCCGCGGTGCGGACGACCGCCGGCAGGGGGCGCCACTCGCCACGGAGCGCGGCGGACTTCCGGAAGGCGGTGGTTGACGGACTGATGGACTTCCCCCTCGGACGCACAGTGGGCCAGAAGACCGGTGGAGGCGGCCAAAACTCTAGACGCGTTTTGAGCTCCAGAGTCGCTAAATGGGACTCGAACCGAACGTGTGACCCCACCAATGGATTGCTCTCCGGACGAGGAATTCATTGGTGGGGTCACACGTTCGATTCGAGTCCTTTTCGGCGACTCTGGAGCTCAAAACGCGTCTCGAGTTTTGGCCGCCTCCACCGGTCTTCTGGCCCACTGTGCGGCGAGGAGGGTGACTCGGCCTCCTCCGGCATGTGGTCGGCCGTGACTTGCTTGCCGACTTGCGGATGTACGAGTAGCGGGGCGGCTTGGCGGCAGTGCTCACTCATAGACGCCAAGCGCCAAGCCTGCTCGAGGTCCTTACGGGCAGGAGTCTGCAATGCGGTCAATGCAGTGCCGGTGCAGACTTCCACCGCCCAGCGCCATCTAGCGGTGGAGAGAGCAAGTCCGGGCGTGATCGCGATGACTCACCGGAAGGGAGAGAGAGGGAAGAACAGACAGATGGACGGGCAGACAGACAGACAGACAGACAGGCAGACGCGTCGCGCTACATATAATGCTGGAAATGGAGTGTCGCTGTGGATTCCCTGCGCCAGCCCGGTCGGCCCGACACTGACCGGAAGTGCAATAGGCACGCTACAAACCGGAAGTGCCACGCCCCGGCTGATGCACTGTCAAGTCCGACGAGCCCCTGGGGGAGCCCCTGGGGGAGCCCCTGGGGGAGGGGCGTCGGGGGCGCCGCGGTGTTCAGGGAAGGCAACAGCTGAGCCACCTGTACCGAAAAGCTACCATTGTGGCGGTTAGAAACCCGAGGATCGACTAGTTGCTGCAGTGTGCCTCTTCATTCTTTTCGCAGAGCACATTGAGAGTGCCTCTAGCCCAGGGAGGGTCCACATCAGACTACTTGCGAGGCGTGGCGATCAAAGATCCTGGATTGAGCAGAAACGTGCTCAAGTTGGCCTGCTGAGCGCATCGGAACCAAGGGAACCAAGCATCGCATGACCGCCTCTCCGCCGCAGCGAGTCAGGCACAGGCAAGTCAGGCGGGCCGCGAGACTGTCGAGAAGAGTCTGTCGGGAGCGCCTGTGAGGCAGGCAGCCCATCGGACGGGCGCGTGCAGCGGTCGGCGGGGCAGCGAGGCGGTCGAAGAACGACGTCAAGCGGGAAAATCAGGTTTTGCCTGGCAAAGGCAAACTGAGGTGGAGGTTGTTGGCAACCCTTTCGAAACTGGTGCATTGAGGGAATGTTTGCCTTCTTGTTTGGCTACCTTGGGAAATAAGGGGCAAGCGGGGTGCCGTCTTGACGAGAGACGACAGTTTGGAGGATTGAAAGCAGCAGGGGCGTCGATATCGGCCAGAGGCGTCAACTGCAGGCTGACTTCGAGCAGTGATCTGTCTCTCTCGCACTCATAGGTCTTCCCGATGGGATGCGAGAGAGACAGAGCGACGAACGGCCTCATGCTGATTAGCTTTTCCTGGCAGCGGTGTCCAATCCTCAGGCCCATCCATCCATCCATCCAGGCCGATGCAAAGTCGGGCCGTGGGACCCGCCACTGTCACGCCCAGACCGGCCACTGTCCGGGGAGGGGCAAGGGGGAGAGGGGGAGGGGGGGTGGGCAGGCGCCACGCTATCGCCTGGAGTGGGAGGGGAGAGGGGCTTTAAAGAGTCGGGGGACACCTGCACCACAATAACACACCGACCGCCCCTCCCCTCCCCTCCCGCTGCGGTCACGGTGCGTGCTCTTGTGCGAGAGCACTTTGTTTGGGGAAGGGGGAGAGGGGAGGGGGAGGTCTCAGACCGCGTGGCGTCTCCCACGTCATTCATTCTCGCTGTAACAGCCCTTGCCCGCCATCTTCCCCGTCATCGTCAACCTCATCGTCCAGGACGCCGGCCGCGCCAGTCGCGTTGCCTCCTGGAAGACCAGTGTAGTGGACTCAGCAGCTCCAGGGCAACTGTCCGTCTCGGCGTCGCCGTCATGGACTCCGTTTTGGCGGTCGGCCCGGGCCCCGCGCCGTGCTGCAGGTGCCGGGCGATGGCCGATGAACTAGCGTGCTAGTGCTGGCCGTGCTGGCGTGCGCGTGCATGCATTACGCGCGTGCGTGGCGTCTAGGATGAGGGGAAGGGGGGGAGGGCGACGCGGTGCGCGGCCAAGCGCGGCGCCGGCCGGCCAGCGGTGCGCGCACGCGGCGTGGCGGCCTGCAGTGCGTGAGTCATTTAAATATGGACGGCATGCCGCGGTCGGTGCTTCTGCAGGCCGGTTCCGAACAACAGTGCTTTCGTCGCCCCGTCTCTCTCGCACGCATGGCGCGGTCCGTGCGGGGTGCGAGAGAGACAGGGCGGCGAAAGCACCGCTCGGAATCAGCCTGCAGGCAGGCTGCACAGTGGGCCCGGTGGAGACGGCCAAAACTCTAGACGCGTTTTGAGCTCCAGAGTCGCTAAATGGGACTCGAACCGAACGTGTGACCCCACCAATGGATTGCTCTCCGAACGAGGAACCCATTGGTGGGGTCACACGTTCGATTCGAGTCCCATTTAGCGACTCTGGAGCTCAAAACACGTCTAGAGTTTTGGCCGCCTCCACCGGTCTTCTGGCCCACTGTGGGCCGTCGTTCCGGCAAAGAGGGAAGCACCGGCGGCCGAGGAGGACCCCGTCAACGCCACTGGCGTCCGATCTCTGGTCACCGGCGTGCCGGCCAGACCGGCCCGGCACGCCCCCCTCCCGGAGCCAATGACCCGCCCGCATAAGACGGACGTCCGCGCGGGCCGCCGCCCCTCGCCGTCGTCGCCCGGCGCCCCGTGGCGGCAAAAGGCGCCGCGAAAGCGCGCCAAATTCAAACCGGCGGCGGCCTTGCGTCACCGCGATGCACCGCGGCAGTGCGGCCCCTGTTTGAGCAAGGGAGGACGTGGATGGAGGGCGTGGCGGGGCGCGGCGGGCGCGCTCGGCTATTACGCCCTTCACGGGCTGTCGCGTCGTTCCAAAAGAACGCTCTGCCTGCCGGGGCTGCCGGGCTGTTGGCAAGCCGTTCGTCCGCGAATGTCGAAAGCTCTACGCGGACTGATAGGCCAAGTGATAAGAAAGTGCATCACCGCGGTCATGCAGCCTCCGCGCCGCCGCCAGGCACACGTGGAGACCGGCCCGTGGCACAGTGGGCCAGAAGACCGGTGGAGGCGGCCAAAACTCTGGACGCGTTTTGAGCTCCAGAGTCGCTAAACGGGACTCGAACCGAACGTGTGACCCCGCCAATGGATTGCTCTCCGAACGAGGAACCCATTGGTGGGGTCACACGTTCGATTCGAGTCCCATTTAGCGACTCTGGAGCTCAAAACGCGTCTAGAGTTTTAGCCGCCTCTACCGGTCTTGCCCACTGTGCGTGGTGCTCCTGGTGCACAACAACGAAGACAACGTCGGGGACAGCGGGAAAAAGGAAACCTGGGGCGACCTGGGTTGGGGAGGGTGGACTGCCACGCCCTTCCGCGAAAAAGGCGGCCCTTGCCGGTGTTGGTCGAGGGGTCAAAGGGTCAGGGGTCAGGCGACCACAGAGGTCAAGCTGGCGCCCCGGACTGCACACCTCAGCCAGGTGCAGGATCGATAAGGTGCCTGCCGCCTTCGAGAACCGCGTCGGCAATCTGAAGGGCCGACGTCAGTGCCGATCGCGTGTTTCGAGGAGAAATGCACGGAATTTCCAATAATGAAGGCCATTTCGCTTGGCGGCGCGGCCGAGAGTCGAACCCGCGACCTACCTGGTGCAGGCGGCGGGGGCGACGCGGCGGGCGCGCCACTTGGAGTAGACGCGCGGCACCCTCACGTAGGGGGCGATGCAGCCCTTGGCGGGGCAGCCCTTGTTGACGCTGCGCGCCTTGGACACGGCACGGGCCTTGAGGGACCGCAGCTCCTGCAGCACGGCCTCGGCCCACACCACGTCCTGGTGGCGGCCCTGCCGGCGGCCGCGGTGCTGCGGGGACGTCTTCGGGGACGCTCTCGAGGACGGCGTCGGCGACGGCTTCGGGGTGCGTCTTGACGGCGAGGTCGCCGCGGAGCGGGTCGCCGTCTTGGCGGTCAGTCCGGAGGCTGGGGTGGCCGCGGGAGGGGTTGCCGCCTTGAGAGACAGGGGCAGCCCGAAGGCCGGCAGGGGCATCTGCGGCACCACGCCGAAGGGGCGCGCCGAGGCCGCAGTGAAGAACGCCGTCTTCGAGGTGCGCGGAGAGCGCACCGCGGGGGCAAGCACCTTGGGCGGCACGAAGGAGGGCGCGTCGGAGGACATGATGGAGGGCACGTTCCTCCAGCCGTTCATGGCGGGCGGCGTCTTCGGCGACACGCCGTTCATCTTGAAGGCCGACGAGGACGTGGTCTTGATCGCGGAGGGGGACATCTTGAGGAAGGTGAGCTTCGTCGGGGAGGTGGCGAGGAGGGGCGGGGGCGGTCTCGGCGGCGGGGTGGCGGACGCCCTCGCGGACGCCGCACCGTGCCTCCGAGACGCCGCCACCCCCGCGGGCTCGGACGCGCCGCCCCGGCCCGCTAGCAGCATTGTCACACACACGCAGACGCGCTGACTCTCAGACCCTCACATTGTAAACAAACACTGCACCGGCTCCGGGCGTCCGGGCCTCCGGGCGTCCGGCGGACACTGAACCCCGGACTGCGCGCGCTCGCCGCTCGGAATCGCGGAGGACTGAGGGACCGGGTCGACGCGGTGCTGCGCGGTGCTGCCGGGGACCCCCAGGGCTGTACGGCCCGGCACAGCCCGGCAGCGGGCGTGGCGCGGCGTGGCGCGGCGTGGCGCAGGGCAGTGGTTCAGCCTGGCTGGGCTGCCCGCCGTCCGCCGGCCCTCCGTCCGTCCGTCTGCCCGCGGCGCCGCGGCGCCTTGCGTCGACGCCACCCCGGCAGCGCGGCCACCCCTACCCTAGCCGCCCTCGGTACCCGCCAGGCCGCCACCCTCCAGGCGCCACCCTTGTGTGTACCTCGCCGAACAGGTGGGGGTGGGGGCGGCACCCCTCCAGGCTCGTCGCTCGGTCTCTCTCGCACTCATGGCGCGTCCCGTCGGGGTGCGAGAGAGACAGGCTACTGGACGCGCGCACGCCGCGGCCGTCGCCATGCCGACGACGGGAACCGCACCACGCGCGCATTACCACGTAATGCTTTCGTTTTCACCAGCGGGTCCCAAGTCGACCATTTCGGAAAGAAGAAGGCACTCCTCCAAACTCGGAACCAAACTCCAGGACGTTTCCGTCTGTTTTTCCAAATTTTTTTCCCGAGCCTTGGAGTGCGTGCATCGAGCAGTGCGTCATTACTGTGGTTTTCAGCGGCAATTAGAGGCTGTCTTTGTCTGTCTGTGTCACAGCGACGTCGGGGCCGCATCCGCTGCGGAGCGCGGAGCAGAATGCACGGCCCGGCCTTCGGGCTTCGACTTCCAGTGCCGGTCCGGGTCAGCGCTTTCGCAAACTTTGCAGTTTTCGGCGGCGCGGCGCGCAGCGAAGCCGGCTGAAGTGAACCGAAGCTCGGCCGGCCTTGTCCCCCCATTCCCCCCATTCAAGCCGACGGCCAATTCACTTCGTTCTGCCAGTGTGCTGCCTGCAGTAAGTGGACGCAACTCGATACAGGCACACGGCACTGTCGCAAACTGGATGCGAGCAGCCGGCCGGCACCGTCCGAGAACAATTCCAAAAATTTTAACTTGGCAGTGAAAATAAACAACCATTTTTTTTGCGTTTCGATGCTTGCGCCCCTTGACCTCGCTGTTAGTCCCATTTATTCCCGTTTGCGATGCGCTGCTTCCGTCCATGCAGGGAGGGGCACTTCGATAACGGGTCGCGCGCAGTGGTGTCATCGCAGGAGGAGGCGAGGCTTATCGAAAACGCTTCAAACTTCGAGTTGACTCCGTCATTCCAAGTGACACTAGTTACGTGTTAGTCACAACACAACAATGGGCATGGTGTATAGTACGAACCGGCGACCAATTGGAGTGGAAAACGACGGCGAACCTCCCCGGGGGGAATCTTTCCGCACCGATTGTCTGCTTCTCTGTTTCCAGGCCGGTCCGACGCACAGTGGGCCAGAAACCGGCGGAGGCGGCCAAAATTCGAGACGCGTTTTGAGCTTCAGAGTCGCTAAATGGGACTCGAACCGACCGTGTGACCCCACCAATGGATTGCTCTCAGGACGAGGAATCCATTGGTGGGGTCACACGTTCGGTTCGAGTCCTGCTTAGCGACTCTGAAGCTCAAAACGCGTCTCGAATTTTGGCCGCCTCCGCCGGTTTCTGGCCCACTGTGCGACGTGCCCTCATCCCGGTGGCCGGGCGGCCCGACGAAGACGAGCACAATGCGGCGGACTGTCTCTCTCGCACCCACAGGGCACGCCCCACGAGTGCGAGAGAGACAGAGCTCGCTGTGCAGGGCAACGAGTAAAAACCGAAACGAAGAAGGAGCAGGAGAACGTAATGCCCGGGCAAGAATGCAGCGACACTTCCGGAGCAAAGAACCTCGCGATTGCTGGAGCCTCCATGGAGTAATGAAGGACCGGGGGCACCCCCTCCCCTCTCCCCCTTCCCTCTCTCTCCCCTCTCCCTCTCTCTCCCCAGGCCGCCCACGCGGCGCGCACGCCGGTTGGGTTGCCTGCCGCCCCGGCGCGGCGGTCTCCGCGTCGGCAGGCATGGGCTACTCACTGCGGCGAGCCCACCACGGTGTGCTCCATGATGGTCTGGATGGTGGGCGCGGCCTTGGCGTGGAACAGGCGCAGGCCCAGGCCGCTCATCTTGCGGTGCACCCAGGAGGACGTCGACGTCATGGTGGCGCTTCAAGGCGTGCTGCAACAAACGGACAAACGGCGGGACGGGTCAGTCGGGTCGGCTGGGTCAGTGGTTCGCGCCCCGGCCGAGGCACCACAGACCGCCCTTTTTTTTGGCGTGGTTGTTGTTGTGGTGGTCGTGACCGTGGCATTGGAGTGGTCCGCATGGCTGCAGCCTAGCGCCCTCGTGATAATTGATTCCGACCGGTCGTCGGCCACACAAGGGACTACTTGTAGTGTAGACGTCTGGGCTGGGTCGCCATGTCTCTTTTCGTTTGGCAGCGGCCGATTTCGGGAGTACACTGCCATGGGACTTCCCCCGTCCCCACCAAAAAAATGGCAATAAAATACATTTTGTTGCATAATTTTGTTAACATTTTTTTTTGAGGGACTTCTGCAAGCTGCCTTTTCCAGGGAGTACGTTACTCACGATGACGACGGGTCCTTCTCTCCGCCTACTGCACTGCACGCCAAATCACGCCGACTTTTACCGAGCACTCGGGGCACGTTCCCTCCAGTTCCTTCGTGATCCACTCGTTCCGTTTCGTCACAGTGTCTTCCCCGCGTGCGACAGATGTCTGCAGATGCGCGCCAGCCAGGCCTCTGCGCTCGCCTGCCGCCGATTGGACGCCGGGAGGCGTAAGATCTTGCGCACGTCACCGAGTGCTGCATTTGACTGACTCACGTGCTCACGTGAGGGGAAGGCACGCCGACGAGGCGGATGACAAAGGACGGGGGCTGCTCTCCGTCTGTCTGTCTGTCTGTCTGTCTGTCTGTCCGTCTGTCTGTCTGTCTGTCTGTCTGTCTGTCTGTCTGTCTGTCTGTCTGTCTACATCTGTAAGTGTAGGAGCGAACGTTGACGCACAGGACGTGCGTGTGAGTGAGCGAGTGGGAAATGGATTTTCACCTCCTGGGCCGTGCCCCACCTGCCCGCTTATCTGGAGCCCGAAAGTCGGAAAGGTAAAACGGAAGTGAGTGAGGCTGTGGCGCGGCGCACTGCTAGAGTCCTACGGTGCGGCGGGGCGCGCCTTCGCCGAAGCAACTCGCGTCGTCGTCTGAGTCGCGGCGGTGTTGTTTCGATTCGGGAAATCCGTGGGAATGTCTTCAGTCTCAGCCAGTGCTGTGCGAAAACGCCGCGCTGATGCAGTTTTAATGGCGGCACTGTTTTGATCCCGAACCAGGAGCAGCGCCATTTGACCGAACACAATGTTCTAAGCAATCACACAACAACATCCATGAAAAAGCCTCATTTTTTTGTCCTCACAATAAAGTCTTTAAACAAATTGCAGTTTTCAGAGTGAGCGGCATTCCCTGCAACACTGCAACCTCTTTCAAAGGGCAAATAATTGCTCAGGTTCAACACTGTTGCTCGAGTGAAGACTGATAAGGTTCGCCAAAAACCACCCGCCTCTGACTCAGGCAGGCGCGTCGCCCTCGAAACGCGGAACGAGAGCCTTGAAAAGGCCAAGACTCCCGGGTAGCAGGCCTAGCACTTGGAACTGTCGGGGCAGGCGGCACCAGACGTGCTCCAAAAGTAGAACCACAACAATCTGCCTCATCCTACTCTCCGAGAGATATCATTACTCTAAGCATGAGAATTATTCTGGTTGTCGTAATGCGACGAACCGGCCGACTGTGGGATCGAATCAAGGCCTCTCGACGTACTACACACAGAAGAGAGGAACAGGGAACACCAACAAATTAAATTTGTTGTTTCGAAGCGACCTCGCCGACGACATGAGGTTTGCATTGCGGGATGCAGGACGTCTATTTCGGATGTTTGTTTCCCCGGCCCATCTGCCGGACGAATGCCTCCCCCCTTCCTCCTTTTTCCCGTGAGGCCCAAGGACGTCCCCGAGGTCGCACCGTGGCGGCCGCGGGCACGGCCCAACCCAGCAGCCAAGGGTACGCGTCCAAATCGCCCGGCGTCGCGGTCGGCACGGCACGGTCCGTCGGAGGACGCGCGTCAGAGCGGACGGCGTCCGCGCCTGCTGGGGCCAACGATATCTCCGCAGAGTTATATTCTCATACAAGTCCGGCGTTTCTTCTTCTTGATTTCTTCTCAACTTCCGGTCCAGCTCTTCTCCGAAGTACATACCCTATTCTGGCGCGGCTAGTACTTTAGAACTCCTGTGGCCCAAAGGCTTAAGGTCACAGCGCACCGCGTCGAACGCGCGTACGCTCCGACGCGCGTCTGAAACTTGAAAGACTAGAACGGCCGTCCGCGGCAGCGGACCGATTCCGATCTGCGCCAATAATCGTAGCTCTTTTGTCTATCCGTCTCTCTCTGTCTCATCGGTCGTTCCCTGCAGGTGCGACAGAGACGGAGCGGCGATTCGCCGTGCCGAGGTTCGCGTGTTTGCGGAGCTAATGCTAGCCTCCTTCTCGCTGGCCACGCTGGCCGCCTTGAGGACGCGGACGAGTCCTGGGCTGGGCTGGACACGCAGGGGCCGAGGGGCCAGCCACCGGCTTGACTTACACACGGCCAAAGAGTGGCTCGTCCCTGTTGGGGATTCCCCGAACACCTTTTGGAACCGCACTTTTGGGGTTGGGGCACATCCCGTCCCAGTGTCCTGCCCCGCCCCCCTCTTCAAGAATTGTCAGGACACGATTTTTGACCCCTTATTTCTAGTGGCAAAGAGAGTTAGGGTGGTTCCCACTCCAAAAATTTGTCAATAGTAGCAGAACATATTTTCTTGAACCAAAAGTTTCACAGTGCACCTCGTCCGACGACGCCAGCTCGGTGGCACTTGACAGTGGGGGTTGTTCGCTGCGCCACTCAATCAAAGACTCTCCATCACTGCCATGCCATTCGCGACGGACGGTCTCGTCCTCTGTCTCTCTCGCAGCCCAGCAGACTGATTCCGAGAGTCGATTTCGTCGCTCTGTCTCTCTCGCACTCGTGGGGCGGTCCGTAGGGGTGCGAGAGAGACAGAGCGACGAAGCAGTGTTCGGAATCAGACGGCTGCGGGGCGGCCCTAGAGTGGAACGGAGACAGAGCGACGAAACGACCCGAGGGGGTATGCACTCGCGTAATAGTCGGTACACTCTATCTGTAATAGCACGCGTAATAATACGCGTAATAGCCAAAATTGTCAAAATTTTATCAATTTTGGTGTGTTTTAGGCCATTTTTAGCTATATTCCGATTAATTTGTGGCGTAATAGAGCGTAATAGCGTAATAGTTGGTACACATGTTCAGAGAGCGCATACCCCCTCGAAACGACCCTTCGGCAATCGCCCGGAAGGGTTGTAACTCACGTGCGTCAGGTGGAGGTAATCCGGGTTGGGCCCGCCGCAGCGCACTGCGACGTCACACACGTCACTAACTCGGAGAACTAACGAACCCGGAGCATTTCGGCGCGGCGGTGGCGTTGTCGCCCTTCTCCGCTGTCCGGCCGGATTCCGCCCGACTGACACTGCCACTACACCGCGAACTACTCGGTCAAATCGGCGGTTCCGCCCGCACGGCCCGTAGTACTGCCCTCGGAGGCGGCCCGGCTCGGCTCGGCACGGCGCACGTGAACCGACTGGCGGCCTGGCGGCACACTGGTGCATCGCCGGCAAGGTAGTACGGCTACAGGCACAGGCTTCACCAGCTTCGCGAGCTTCGGCGGCTACGCGCTGCGCCGCGCTCGGCTCAGCTTAGGCAACGTCCGCCGCTTGGCGCCGCCCGGCCGCTCCCCGCGCTTCCGCCTCGTCTTTACTCCCAGTTTCGCGGTGCCGGAGGGGAGGGGGAGGGCGCTGCACAGTGGGTCAGAACACCGGTGGAGGCGGACAAAACTCTAGACGCGTTTTGAGCTCTAGAGTCGCTAAATGGGACTCGAACCGAACGTATGACCCCACCAATGGATTCCTCGTTCGGAGAGCAATCCATTGGTGGGGTCACACGTTCGGGTCGAGGCCTGTTTAGCGACTCTGGAGCTCAAAACGCGTCTAGAGTTTTGGCCGCCTCCACCGGTCTTCTCGCCCACTGTGCGCTGGGGCGCGCCAAAGTCAACGCCTGCAGGCTAGTTATGCCCAAGCGCGTACGCGTGCCACCGGCACCAGACTGATTCCGAGAGTCGCTTTCATCGCTCTGTCTTTCTCTCGCACCCTCACGGCACGCTCCCATGAGAGAGAGAGAGCGCGACGAAAACCACTCTCGGAGTCAGCCTGCAGCGCCGGCCGGCGAAGACGAACCAACGAACCCCAGGAGAAAAGGACAAACAAAGCGCTCGTCTTTGTAACGGTCAGGTTCGAAGCCTCCTAGACATCCTAGACCTCCCGCAGGCTGATTCCGAACAGTGGCGCAGTCTGTCTCTCTCGCACTCATGGGGCGTCCTGCAAGGGTGCGAGAGAGACAGACAGGGCGACGAGACGACGCTTCGGAATCGCTCAGCGCGCCTTGTTTTGGCATGGTTTTAGGGTGGCGCGGTTCCATCGTCAATGACTTGAACTGGCAGGCGGTGATGGAAATGGACGGTCGTTGTCGTTTGGGCTGGGCGTGCCGGGGGCCAATGAGCGCTGACAGTTACTTTACAACAAGACTCCAACTCGAGCGAGCGCGGTGCAAGAGACGAAGAGACAGGGGCGCGTTGCACAGTGGGCCAGAAGACCGGTGGAGCGGCCAAAATTCGAGACGCTTTTTGGGCTCCAGAGTCGCTAAATGGGACTCGAACCGACCGCGTGACCCCACCGATGGATTCCTCGTTCGGAGAGGAATCCATTGGTGGGGTCACACGCTCGGTTCGAGCCCTTTTCAGCGACTCTGGAGCTCAAAACGCGTCTCGAATTTTGGCCGCTCCACCGGTCTTCTGGCCCACTGTGCGTTGGGTTGCCTGAACACGGGGCGCCAACAGCGCGGCCAGCCGTTGGGTTGCCTACTCGCACGGCGCAACACTGTAGACGTGAGTCTTTGAATGAGTACAAGACTTTGTCTATGAGGAGAGGAGGCAAAATGAAAATTCCGCTTTCATTTAAGAAGGAGAGAACTATTATTGTACGACAATCCAATGACAAAGACAAAAAGGCAATCAAGGATCAGGCCTTGTCTATGGGACAAGCAAGTATTTTTTTGTCAAATAACAAAAGGAGTACTTCAAACGATGAAAACTGAAAATTGGCTTACAAATTTTACAAAGAAAATTATCATTATGCGATTAAAAATAAATAAAAAATAATCTAAGGGAGTGAAACTAATTCACAGATGCAGAGAAATTTAACAATTGAGAAGGTAACAAACTTGAGCAAAGTTCAAACAGGGCTAATGAAAAGAAAAGTCATAATACAAAGAACACTTCCGGTGGGAAAGAAACAGACATTTCAATACTAATAAGTTTGTGCGAGACAGGTAAATAGAGGTATATTGATGTACATTAACAAAGAAATTATCACCAGAATTTAAAGAAATTGCACACCTTAACAATATTCTTGCATTCTACAATGCACACATTTAACAAGATTAAAAAAAAAAACCTCAAAGAACAACATTTATGTATGAAGGCGTACCGCCTATTATCTACCTTACCAACCAGATAACTAAGATTTGTAGGACTGAGAAACATAGACAATCACATACACTTGACATACAATGGTCATTCATTCATAACGTTTTGATGAACAGACTTAGGAGCTAAGTTGGTTCATGCATCAAACAGCATTAAAGTAAAATGAAATAATTTTAAAATACATAGAAAAAGCACCCAAGATGAGGAGATTTAAGGTGAAAGCACTTCAGGGTTGATGGTACCTTCTTGGGCTGTGGAGACAGGTTTCTCAGGAACGTCAGTTAATGGCTGATGACCTGTTCCGTGCACAAATAAATTGGGAATATCTGGTCCAAAGTAGATTTTGCTATTGGCAGTCAGTGACTTGTATTTTGTCAACTCAAGGTACTCTGGTGTAAGAAGGAGTTTGTTGGCTTCAGCTTGTTTCTTTAATTGATAAAATTCAGCATCAGACCTGCTCTTCTGACGGTCAATGTGCATTTCATCTGGAACAAAATATCAAACATATAGAATGTTTGGAAAAAAAATGTGCTGAGTGACAAAAAATTGATGGGATTCCACAGATTCTTACCTTCAATTTGAGCCATTCTCTGGAGGGATTCTTTCTCCATAATTTTTTGACCGAAGTGGATTTTTGCAACACTGGCTTCTTTCTCAGCCTCAATAATTGCTTTTTTGCGATCTGTCTCTGCATCTTTCTCAACCAGTTTCTGATGCTGCTCTGAAATGAGTAATTTTGTTTTCTCTCCTTCCCTAATAGCAGAGAAAAATTGGGGTGAAGTAATGATTCAATAAAATTAGAAAAAAGTCCATTTCAGAGATATCATAGGAAACTTACATCTGTTCATAATTTTTCCGAATCATTTCTGGAATTTTGGGCTTGGTCACTCGAACAGCTTGAATGTATAGCCCAGGGGCCATTTCATTCAGATCTCTCTGAAGAGCTGTTTTGAGGTTTTCATCAATCTGGTCAAATAGATCAATGTAAACCTGGGAAAAGAAATGACAAGAATCATAAGACAAAGTTTTGACACAGGATACAACTCTAAATCTTTAAAAGGTTTCTACCTCTTGAAGACTATGAACGCTGCAAAATTGGTTAAGTTCATGATGCACTTTGTTGAAAATTAGTGTTTTGTCATAATCAGCAGTGTAATTCTTCACAATATCAAACACTGAAAAAGAAGAAAAGATTTAACAGAGGATCACCAGAGAGTATGGTGACAGCAAGTAAAGAAACTCGGCAGCTTACCGCTAGATGCACTAAGTATGTTGACAACCTCAATTCGATCAAAGTAAATCATCACACCACCACTGGTTCCACATGGAACGTTTTTAACCTCATCTGTTTGTAATGTTACCTGCAAAACAAATTTTTTTCAAGTTAGATGGATTGGAAGCGAACCTGATGTAATGTGGAAAACACGCAGGCAACAACTCACCTGCACTGATCTGAAGCTAGTAATAAATGGGATCATCATGTGAAATCCTGGTTGACTAGTGTTAGATAATAAAGCTCCACCCTGCAACAAGCAACAACATTTCAGTCATGTTCAAATACGGTCCAAAACCAAAAGCTACGGAAATTCAATTTCTCTCACCCTATAATACACTCCGACGTGTCCTTCCTCCAATTTATGGAGAGAAAAATTAACTAAAAAGGAGAAAATGCCGACGGCCACGGCGATGGCAGCTGCGTTTCCAGCCATTTTCGATGAAATCACCAAAATAATCTAATCTTTGATAATCTGCTCCTCAGGCCGGCGAGGAGGCGGGTCTGGAGGTTAGGGTCCTGCTGGCACTTGAACGCTGCAAAGCAAAACGTGACACTGTGGTGTGATTACTCCAACAATGTGAGGAGAAAACGAGCAGGGAGCACCGGGCGTCGCCGGATGACCTTACCTTTTCCAATCAATACAATGAAAAAAGAATGTTTGTGGACATTAAGGTGGGGCGCCGCGTCTCTGCCCGCTGTCCTGTTGTGAGAGGCCAGGCCGGCCACCACAGGCACGCCGAGAGAAACGTTCGTTGTCGCCGAGGAGAGGCGGGAACGCCGTCGGGGCCACGCAGTTCGAAAACGCCGACGAGGGTTCACGGCGGGCACGCGACCAGGTCCACCGTTTCGCTTGAAAACGGGTTCAGGTTTCGCCTTCCAGTGGCGCGGACGGGCCGAGGGGAGGAAGCGCAGGACGGGCCGCCCGGAAGGGGAGGGGAGGGGGGAGGGAATGCCGAGCAGAGATCCACTCCTCTGGGCGTTCGGCCACGTAGGCCTATGCAAGCACGCACACGCGAGAGGGGTCAGTTTGGAGAGAGGGTGGGGGTTGATGTGCGTCTGCGTCGATGAAAGGCTGTGCCCACCCCCTATCCGATGACCCCACCTAGTCAGTTCATGCAGAAGGACAAGTTATCTGTTGGGGCTTGTGGAGCAGTGTTTACGGAAAGGGTTCTCGGGAAAGACGAAAAAGAGGAGCAAACTTGGCTGTCGCCGACGCGACGGTGGCACTCGACTCGCCCTGCCGAGCCCCGTCGCTCTGGGACACCTCACGAGTGCGAGAGAGACAGAAACAGCCCGCTGTTGCTGCGGTTGCGTGGCCGAGGCGGGCCGAGGCGCGCTAAACGGGCGTCATAGTCGTAGCGGCCCCAGCGCCATGTCATTCGCTGCGATTATTCGACCGAAACACAGACTGATGCCTTCGCTCTGTCTCTGTCGCGCTCATGCAGTGCCAAGCCGGCGTGCGAGAGAGACAGAGCGACGGGTGCAGCGAAGACGGGTCCGCGGCGCCATGTCTTCGACGCCCCCCGAGGCCCGCGCCGCGACGCCTAGGCGACGCCGTGCAACATTAACCAATCCCAGGTCAATTAACTCTCCAGTCATCTGGAGGGGGAGGCTCCCCCCCAACCCCGCGTCCCTCCATTCGCACATTCCGCGAGTTCAAAGCGTAACAGAGTGTTCAGGGTTCGGAATGGCTGCGGTTTATTTTCGCGGTGACGCCGTCACGCGGCGTGCGCCGCTAACGATGCATAATAAACGCATCGCGCTTTGAAAAAAAAATAACTAAATAAAAATAAAATGGACCAAAGAAAGCCCCCTTCCATCGCTTCCCACAGATTCTCCAGTATTCCGCTGGAGCAGGCCCAGTATTCTCTAAAGCTGCATGTCAAAGTTGCAGTGGACTTTGGTTGACTCTAGGACATGTCCACCCACTCCACACTGTAGGTACGTCGTGGGAAGTCTACGTAGTGCCTGCTAGCAGAGCACTGCCTGTTGACTAGTTATCGGGGGTTTCGGAAAGGCTGCTGGTAGGGAAAAGAGGGGGGGGGGGAGGAGGAGAGGGCGTGTCTACCCACCTCTCTGTTTACCCCGTTGATTCCTCAATCTATCCATCACAGAATCGCACCCATCCCGCCCCGCCCCACTACCCATTCCGCCCCGCCCCGCCCCGCCCCGCCCCGCCGCTCCAGTCGGCGCCCCCCGTATATAACGCGAAGGCAGATGCCTCAAGACGACAGATCTCGTTTTCAGGTAGCGCCAAACACAGCGCAGGAATGGCGAATAAGGTGAGTACCGTGGTCGCACCTAAACCAGCTGGGGTTCAAATACTGGCCCGAAGGCAGCAGCGTGATTTTTTTCCCTCACGCCTGAACAACAGTGCAGCTTACGCCTTTCTTGAAGTTCGCTTTGCTTCGCCATTTCCCCGCAGTCAAAATTTTTCATAAGGTAAAAAATTATTTTTTTCTTTAAATTGTTTGTTTTGAAAATTTTAGCTGTACTTGATGAAACCGAGATGACGCTTCTTCTGACACTTAATGCCCGCCTTTCGGCGTGCCGCGGCGACTGGGCGAAGCGCGAGGCGGTGTTTGGCGACACTTGGTGTTGCAGTGTGTCGCCAACGCCCCACGGGGGGCGTGGCGGCGCCTCCAGGCGCTGCAGCACACCAAGCAGTGGCGCAACCGCGATGCACCTCTCAAACTCCGCGACTGTTCTTCCTTTTTTGTGACACCCGTCCTCGTGGCTGCTGCGGCCTTCCGTGTGCTGGCTCGACGCACAGTGGGCCAGAAGACCGGTGGAGGCGGCTAAAACTCTAAACGCGTTTTGAGCTCCAGAGTCGCTAAATAGGCCTCGAACCAAACGTGTGACCCCACCAATGGATTGCTCTCCGAACGAGGAATCCATTGGTGGGGTCACACGCTCGCTTCGAGTCCTGTTTAGCGACTCTGGAGCTCAAAAGGCGTCTAGAGTTTTGGCCGCTCCACCGGTCTTCTGGCCCACTGTGCGACGGCGTGACTGACTGACGGACTTGTTGCAGACGTCCCCGGCGGCGCTGCTGCTGGTGCTGCTGGCGGCGCACGCGGCCATCCCCCTGCCGGCCGTGGAGGCCGCGACGCGGGTGTCGCGGCGGCCGCACCACCACCAGGACCACCAGGACGGCGCCGAGGCCGCGCCGCCCAGCCGGCTGCCCCGGGCGGTGCGCGCGCGCGTCCCCCGGGACGTGCCGGACAACGACGCCGAGGCCACCGAGCTGGAGGCCACCGAGCAGGAGGCCGCGCCGTCGCAGCCCCAGCAGGACTACCAGTACCAGCAGTACCAGGAGCAGCAGCAGGCCCAGGAGGCGCGCCACTTCAGCAGGCTGGCCGACGACAACTACGAGGACGAGCAGGTGGGCCAGGGGCGGATCCAGCGCCGGCGCGAGGGGTGAAAAATAGCACGTTTTGCCTACTTGCAGGGGCCACGCTCGGGCATTTTTTTGTTGTTTTTGTCGGGCTAGATAGCGATAGAGGCGCTCCTCGCAAAGTGAGTCATCCTGCATCGTCCTGGTGACGTCATCGTCTTTCAGCCTTTCAGCGCGGGCCGGGCATTCGCATCGACCCGCGCACCCAAGTGTTGCTAACGCGATTGGCTTCCTGTCACCTAGCCCCGGTGGCGCAGTGGCAGCGCGTTACTCTTCTTAAATAAAGGTCGTAGGTTCAAATCCTACCCGGGGCACTCTTTTTTTTCGTGCAGTTTTTGACGGCAATGATTTTCCGCGTTTTACCGAGGCTTTGCCGTTGCTCTCCAGGACATCGTGTACGACTTCTCGTACGAGGTGAAGGACCCCAACACGGGCAACGACTTCGGGCACCGCCAGAGCCGGTCCGGGGGCCAGACGCAGGGCCAGTACCGCGTGCTGCTGCCTGACGGGCGCATGCAGGTGGTGGACTACGTGTCGGACCGCGACGGCTTTCGGCCCAACATCCGCTACGAGGACGTCGGCGTGCCCGTGTTCGCCGGCACCGAGAACCACGAGCAGTTCGCGGACGGCACCAACCACTTCGAGCAGGAGCACGGGCCGGGCTCGGGCAGCGCATCCGCGCCACTGGCAGAGGGCTCGGCGCAGGGCCCCAGCCCCGACGAGGTGCGGCGGCGGCGGAGGAGGAGGGCCGTGGCACCTCTCGCTGCCCCCAGACCCCACGCCCAGCCCCACGGCCAGCACGCCGGCAAGCAGCGCCAACGATGAGCAGCAACAACCACCCCACCGACCATAGGACCACCAAACGGCAATGCGCGGGCAAACAAACAAAAAAAATCACAAAATAAAGCATAAATTTTCAAAGTAGCACGGAGTCTGAGTCCCACAGCGTCTGACTGAATGACTGAAGCAACACCAAGTTTTGGGTTTATCTTTTTATTGATCTTTTTAATAGTTCGTTTTTTTCAGCATGTTGGTCACATACATACACAGTCCCTTGGTTCTCCCTCACGAATAAGGACACATAATAGCTACACATACAAAAATATATAAAAAAAACGTAATCTAATATTATTAACATTATCATATCATTATCATAAAACTTATGACGGCGATGACACTACATTTATAAAATGTGTTCCAACACCCGAAAAGGATTATGTTACGATCTGTGGCTGAGGATGGCACTCGGTGTCCACAAAAAAAAAAAAAAATCTTCGTTACAACGATTTGCAACGCGTTAAGCTTTCAATGGAAAGCGGGTCCAAGTCACTGAAGGTGCCGAGGCTCGAACACTGTCTCAATGGTCTCCTTCACAAAGAGTGGTAACTATAGCGCACAAGGAGCTGTGGGGGGAAAGCGAAATCCCGGGGTTTCAAGAGTCTTCTAACCGTCGACGTAAGGGGAGATCTTTTTGAGGACAGAAAGGGGGAGAGGAGAGGGTTGTGGAGGGGGAAAGGGGGGTTGTGGAGGGGGAAGGGGGTTGTGGGAGGGGGAATGGGGGGTTGTGGGAGGGGGAAAGGGGGCTTGTGGGAGGGGGGAAGGGGGGTTGTGGAGGGGGAAGGGGGTTGTGGAGAGGGAAGGGGGTGGGAAGGGGATGGGACGGGGGAGAGGAAGGGGCAGGGGCAGTGTAGGGGAGTGGGGAGGGAGAAGGGGAGGGACACCAAAATGAAAGAGGACTGATTCAGAAAACTAGGCTGCCTGTCCCTCCCCTCCTTCGCGTTTTCGCGTTATACGTTTACTATCACCGTCTTCTTGGCTCCTTCGCCTCTTCGTCAGGTAGTCAGGTACAGGGTGGTGGCGGTGGTGGCCGGCCGGCTCATCGCTGCAGGCGCTGCAGGGCGTCGTCCTCGCCCAGGGCGTGCTTGGGGGCGGCGCGCAGCAGGAAGGCACACTGCACGCGGCAGACGTCGTCCGCCAGCAGGGCGCGCAGGTCCGTGCTCTCCGTCAGCTGCACGCAGTTGGTGACGCGCAGCGACTGGCAGACGGGCTGCGGGGACGACGGGGCACTCTTAGAACCGCGACGACGACCACTGGGCACTTTACTCTACTGCCACCCTACTCACCCCTTCCCGGGTGCAGGAGCACTGCACGCAGGGTGACAGCTTGGCGGAGTCGCCGACGGGGATCTCGAGGCGGCCCACGTTACACGTAGGCCGCTCCACCCACTCGCTCAGGTCCATGGCGGGGATGTCGGCGCACGTCACCAGCGGGTTGCTGCAACCGCCAAGGCGTCAGAGAGAGGCAGAGACAGGCGGATCGACCGATCGACCACAGTGGACTCACAGGAAGGGGTCCGGGAGGTCGAACACGTTGCGCTGGATCCTGTCGATGCGGTCCAGGTTGTTGCACACGACCCTCGCCAACGAGGTCTGCCGGATCTCCGTGAGCTGTCCCTCCGTGAACCGGAGCAGCGGGTCGGAGGTCTCGTACCTGCGGCAAGCGGCACAGTCAGCCCTTGTCTCTGTCGCACTCACGGGGCGCCAGAGGACCGGTGGAGGCGGCCAAAACTCTAGACGCGTTTTGAGCTCCAGAGTCGCTAAGCAGGACTCCAACCGAACGTGTGACCCCACCAATGGATTGCTCTCCGAACGAGGAATCCATTGATGGGGTCACACGTTCGATTCGAGTCCTGTTTAGCACCTCTGGAGCTCAAAACGCGTCTTCGGCCGCCGGCGCCGGTCTCCTGGCCCACTGTGCGCAGGGAGTGCGTGAACCTCTTCCTCACCAGAATCGGTCGCAGCGCCGCAGCCGGGAGAACTGTCCGCCCACGATGCAGGCGAACGTCTTGCCGATGACGCCGCCGGGCAGCGGGTACTCGCTGATGCCGCCCGGGAACAGGTCGATGTCGTCGGGGCTGGCGTACAGGCTGCGCAGCACCTCCACCTGCTCGGGGGGCATGTCGCCCCTCAGGTCGTCGAACGTCTTGGCGCGCGTCAGGTTGCACAGCTCGCGGTAGTTGTTGTAGCCGGGCACGCCGTGGTCGCGGGCTGAAAACAAACCACGATAATTTTTTTAAGGACATGGAAGTTTTTTAAAAACTAACATTTTTCCAAAGAACATTAGCATTTTTTAAAAATACAGAAACATTTTTTAAAAATACATAAACATTTTTTTAAAACATCAACATTTTTCAAAAAAACATTAAATTTTTTTAAAACGACATAACAATTTTTTTTTCAGACATTACAAAAATGTCCAAAAAATTCAAACTGATGATTATTTTTGTTTGGCAAGTGCCACCGCGCTCTCACCGCGCTGCATGTTGATGGCCACCAGGTCGAACCCGGAGAAGGGCCTGTAGGGGCGGCGGTGCTCGAACAGGTGGTTGGTGACCTCGGTGGTGATGAACTGGTCCAGGGTCTGCATGGGCGTGCTGACGAGCCCCCGCACGATCTCGTCCACCATGCCGGGCTGCAGGATGACGTCCGAGTTGAAGAAGTGGTCGCGCAGGCGGACGGGCGGCTCCACGGTGCGGTAGTTGACGTCCTTGCGGACGAAGTGCGGCTGCAGCAGGCTGTGTCCGAAGCGGAAGGCCGCGGAGGAGAACTCGTTGACCAGCGTGGCGTCGCAGCTAGGGTCGTATCCTGCGGCACGCGTTCAAGTTCCAGTCGAGAGATTAGAGACGTAGGGTGGAAAGTAATGAAGTGTGTTCCGGAACGTACCGTCGTAGTAGCCCTCGCTCTGCAGCTTGAGGCCGAAGCGCTCGGCGCCGGGGAAGCCCAGGATGCGTGGCAGCCACTCGTTGAAGGCGATGTGCTGGAACTGGGCGGTGACGATGCGACGCGCCTCCTGGTACAGCGTCTCGTCCGACCAGTGCGGGTTGATCTGCTCCAGGCGCTCGGCCACCACGTTGTGCTCGCGCAGCCACAGCGTGTGCATGGTGGTGAGGCCGGGCTGCTCGCTGGAGCGCGGGTCGCCGGCGAAGAAGCACAGCCCCGACGGCGCCTTGCACTCGGGGTGGTTGTTGATCTGCGGAAGCAGCGGCTTGAGGCCACGGCCCGCCGGGTGCTGCGTCACGTTGAGCCGGCCGCCGCCCGGCGCGCGCAGGGACTGCGCCGTGCAGGGGTCCGAGCCGTACATGAAGGAGCCGTCGATGTAGGCCGTCAGCTGGTTCAGCTGCTCGCGGTGGCCTGGAACCGAATGGGACCCAAATCAGGAGGCTGCCACTTCTCGCCGTGCGCGAATTCTCCTAAAATTCCTGAATTTTCTGATTTTATTTGCGTTTTTCCTCAGAGTGCGGACATTGTATTGGGCTTTCCGGATGATTATCGGTGTGGTTGCGATTAGCTGCGATAGCGCAGCGATAAGGCCCGACCTAGCACATCCGGCGCAACGCCAAACTCACAGTGTACTGTACAGCCCCCCTTCCCCACCTTGCCCCTTCCCTTTCCGCGACCATCGCGCCCGTCTCCCTCCTCGAGTGAGTCATCCTGGTCGCGTCCGCGGGCTGGACCAAAGACTTCCCCGTGCGACGACTGCACTCTATGTGAGCCCCGGTGGCGCAGTTGGTCAGCGCGTTATACACATCGCAAATAATGGTCGTAGGTTCGAATCCTACCCGGGGTACTTCTTTTTCGTCCGCTGTTTGTTGGCGTGCGCTCCGCTCCTGGTCGCCAAGTGAGTCATTGCGATGACGTCATTGATCTGTTTCGGCACTGGGCCACAGAGGGCGCGACCGTCGAGGTTTGGCTGTTTGATTCATCGACCGACGACGGCGGGCCGAAAGTGAACACAGAGCGATGCGGCGACTACCACAAGCCCCGGTGGCGCAGTTGGCAGCGCGTTATACACTTCGCAAATAATGGTCGTAGGTTCGAATCCTACCCGGGGTACTTTTTGTTGTGTTTTTTTAGGGCGCGACCGTCGACGTTTGGCTGTTTGATTCATCGACCGACGGCGACGGGCCGAAAGTGAACACAGAGCGATACGATGGTTTCCACAAGCCCCGGTGGCGCAGTTGGCAGCGCGTTATACACTTCGCAAATAATGGTCGTAGGTTCGAATTCTACCCCGGGGTACTTTTTTTCCGTGCATACGTATATAATTTTTCTATGAATTTTGAACCACTTGCTATGTGGGCATGAGTTACGCGCGATTCTGGAGGCGAGGCTAGCGGCCATCAGGTTGTGTCACGTTATTGCGCAATAGCAGAATGTTAAAATGTTCAAGTGTCCCAGGTTATTTGTTCAAATTTCATGCCTGTGAACACAGATAGGCTTTCATTTCTCACAATTTTATGAATAAAATCACAAAAAACTGTAAAAAACAACAATAAAAAGTACCCCGGGTAGGATTCGAACCTACGACCATTATTTCAGACTTGTATAACGCGCTGCCAACTGCGCCACCGGGGCTGGGTGATGGCGGGGGAGTCGCAGGCCAATTTGACGTTGTTCCGGCGAGTCGGCGTGGGCCGGGTATTCCCCCCCGCTGTGGCGCGCTCCGCCGGCGGAGCGGCCAGGCTGGCGCGGCCGTCCAGGATGAGTCACTTTGGCTCGACGCGAAGCAGAAGTGTACCGACTGCGTGAGGTCTCTCCACCACAAGCCCCGGTGGCGCAGTTGGCAGCGCGTTATACAAGTCTGAAATAATGGTCGTAGGTTCGAATCCTACCCGGGGTATTCCTTTTTTTCCGCGTTTTTCTGGTTTTTAGCAGATGATACCTTCACTCTTGAAACACACTTAAAACTACTATACACATGAAGGTGTCAGCGTGCTTTTACTCTCGAGTGCAGAAACCAAGCGCGTATCCTAACAATATAATAGGGGCTGGCTGCCGGGGCGGGCTGGTGTGTCTAGCCGGCTGGCGGTGAGGCGCAGCCTGCGCGGAATTCGACAATCCCTCCGCGGTACAGCGCCAGCGGCACCGGGCGTCAACAATGGTACATTGACAATCCCTCCCCGCCTGACACGGCGCGGAATATCGCGCAACAATGCCACATGCCATAGCTCGGCACGGCTACCAACACCGGCTAGCTTGCTCGGGCCTGTGTATTCAATTGGCCTTGTTTCATACACAATTTTAAATACTATCTTTGGATTGAGCTTTTGTTTGCCGTATACGGCTTTTGGTCTGCCTCATACGGTTTTTGATTTGCCGCATACGGTTTTTTGTTTGCCGTATACGGCTTTTGGTCTGCCTCATACGGTTTTTGATTTGCCGCATACGGTTTTTTGTTTGCCGTATACGGCTTTTGGTCTGCCTCATACGGTTTTTGATTTGCCGCATACGGTTTTTTGTTTGCCGTATACGGCTTTTGGTCTGCCTCATACGGTTTTTGATTTGCCGCATACGGTTTTTTGTTTGCGTATACGGCTTTTGGTCTGCCTCATACGGTTTTTGATTTGCCGCATACGGTTTTTTGTTTGCCGTATACGGCTTTTGGTCTGCCTCATACGGTTTTTGATTTTCCGCATACGGTTTTTTGTTTGCCGTATACGGCTTTTGGTCTGCCTCATACGGTTTTTGATTTGCCGCATACGGTTTTTTGTTTGCCGTATACGGCTTTTGGTCTGCCTCATACGGTTTTTGATTTGCCTCATACGGTTTTTTGTTTGCCGCATACGGTTTTTTGTTTGCCGTATACGGCTTTTGGTCTGCCTCATACGGTTTTTGATTTGCCGCATACGGTTTTTTGTTTGCGTATACGGCTTTTGGTCTGCCTCATACGGTTTTTGATTTGCCGCATACGGTTTTTTGTTTGCGTATACGGCTTTTGGTCTGCCTCATACGGTTTTTGATTTGCCGCATACGGTTTTTTGTTTGCCGCATACGGTTTTTTGTTTGCCGTATACGGCTTTTGGTCTGCCTCATACGGTTTTTGATTTGCCGCATACGGTTTTTTGTTTGCCGTATACGGCTTTTGGTCTGCCTCATACGGTTTTTGATTTGCCGCATACGGTTTTTTGTTTGCGTATACGGCTTTTGGTCTGCCTCATACGGTTTTTGATTTGCCGCATACGGTTTTTTGTTTGCGTATACGGCTTTTGGTCTGCCTCATACGGTTTTTGATTTGCCGCATACGGTTTTTTGTTTGCCGTATACGGCTTTTGGTCTGCCTCATACGGTTTTTGATTTGCCGCATACGGTTTTTTGTTTGCCGTATACGGCTTTTGGTCTGCCTCATACGGTTTTTGATTTGCCGCATACCGTTTTTTGTTTGCGTATACGGCTTTTGGTCTGCCTCATACGGTTTTTGATTTTCCGCATACGGTTTTTTGTTTGCCGTATACGGCTTTTGGTCTGCCTCATACGGTTTTTGATTTGCCGCATACGGTTTTTTGTTTGCCGTATACGGCTTTTGGTCTGCCTCATACGGTTTTTGATTTGCCGCATACGGTTTTTTGTTTGCCGTATACGGCTTTTGGTCTGCCTCATACGGTTTTTGATTTGCCGCATACGGTTTTTAGCAGATGATACCTTCACCACACTTGAAACATACTTAAAAATACTGTACACATGAAGGTGTCAGCGTGCTTTTACTCTCGAGTCCAGAAACCAAGCCCGTATCCTAACAATATAATAGGGGCTGGCCGCCGGGGCGGGCTGGTGTGTCTGGCTGGCTGGCTGGCTGGCGGTGAGGCGCAGCCTGCGCGGACGTCTCAAAGGGTGGGTGACTCGGGCAGACCTCGGCTCTGCTCAGCTCGTGCCGGCTTCGGCGCCAGCTCGGCCTCGTTCGTTGAATGAGATTTTAAGAACCATTTTCGGAATGAGCCCATACTAATGAGCCCAAAAGAAAACCAAACGAGTATCATCTGCTTTCATTAACGTTCGTTGAATGAGATTTTTTTTCTGTTATTACTGGTAATCGCGTTGTGCAAGTTGTGCAATCATGACAAAAATCTCTGAATTACGAGACGAAGTGAGAAGCGTGAGGTGAGCCTTACCGAGCGTGAGCTGTCCGGGGGTGGAGCGGGTGACGGGCAGGCAGAGCGGGTGTCCGGACGCGTTGCGCGACGGGTAGAAGGGGTCGTCGTCCGGGATGGGGATGGGGAAGCACAGCGGGTGCACGGTGCGGGCCGAGTCGCAGGGCCGGCACACCAGCACGCCGTCGCCGACGTGGGCTGCGGAGCAGGACAGACACTTTAAAACCGTGACAATGAACGATTTTAGGAGAAATTGGGTTTCATTTTGGCTTTTTTGTCCTCATCATCTGCGAGGTAAATACGTGAAAGAAGAGGGCCTCACTCACCCTGGTACACGGGGGTGTTGGTGAGGTCGTGGTCCATGATCTGCGCGAACTGCATGACGATGAGGGCGTAGCGCACGTGGGGGTAGCTGGTGTTGGGGTGCATGTTGAAGGACACGAGGCGCGGGCTGGGCAGCTGCTGCCCCGTCACGGACTTTTGGCGCGGCGCGCCCACGCCGTCGGCGTAGTGCGGCGCCAGGAGGCGGTTGAAGGCGCGCAGGCTCTTGCCCTGGTGCGGGTGCCGCATGTTGTTGCACCAGCCGGTGTAGCTGCGGTAGCGGCGGCTGGGGTCGCACGGCAGGCTCAGCTCGTCGCAGGACTCGTCGCGCGGCCAGGCCAGCGACTGCGAGACGTCCACCGTGGACAGGGCGGACAGCAGCTGCTGCAGCTGCTGCACGTCCTCCGGGGCGCCCGACGAGCCGCGTCGCGTGAACGGCACGCTGGCGCCGCCCTCCACGTCCTGGAGGTGCCTGCGCAGGCGAAGCGAGCCGTCAGTGCAGCAAAAGGACTGCCAACTCCGGCCAACTCGCCTTTCTGGCAAAACGACGACCGCCACTTGCACTGCGCTTACCCCTCAAGGAAGCCGCTGACGAATCTGGCCGTGGCGAACTCCAGCACGAGGGAGGTGTTGGCGATGGACAGGGCCTGGCGGCGGGGCCGGGAGAAGCCCAGCAGGTTGACGCCCTCCTGGGAGTTGGGGTCCACGAGGCGGCCTGCAACGGGACAGTCAGTCAGTTAGGTCAGTCAGGGCAAAAAGCGCCTGCGGAACGGAGGGCGGGCCACCACGCGGAACAGCGCAGCTCGGCGGGCCTGCCCACCCTCTTGACCGCAGGCTGAACGCCGCCGGAGGCGGTACAACCCTCTCTCTCTCTCTCTCTCTCTCTCTCTCTCTCTCTCTCTCTCTCTCTCCCCTCTCTCTCTCCCTCTCTCTCTCCTCTCTCTCTCTCTCTCTCTCTCTCTCCTCTCTCTCCTCTCTCTCTCTCTCTCTCTCTCTCTCTCTCTCTCTCTCTCTCGCACTCACGCTGGCGCCACAGCTGGCGCTCGGCCTCGTGCACGTCGTCCACCCTGCGGTGCGCCTGGGCCAGGGCGTCCTCCAGCAGCGTGCGGTTGACGAGCGTGAAGGGCAGCGCGTAGGGCCGCTCGGCGCGCCACGCGTCCAGCGGCACGCGCCGGATCACCTCGCCGTCGCAGGGCGCCTCGTAGTTCCTGGAACCCATCGCGTCGGTCAGCGAGTGGAGGGAAATGAGAGGGGAAATGAAGCACAGTGGACCAGAAGACCGGTAGAGGCGGTCAAAACTCTAGACGCGTTTTGAGCTCCAGAGTCGCTAAACAGGACTCGAACGGAACGTGACCCCACCAATGGATTCCTCGTTCGGAGAGCAATCCATTGGTGGGGTCACACGCTCGGTTCGAGTCCTGGTTGGCGACTCTGGAGCTCAAAACGCGTCTAGAGTTTTGGCCGCCTCCGCCGGCCTTCTGGCAAATCCACTGTGTGAAGGCGGCGGTGCTCACAGGAAGGGGTCGGCGGCGATGAAGGCGTTGGGCTGCACGTGGCTCACGCCCGCGTTGTCGCACAGCAGCCTGGCCAGCGACGCGCCGCGCACGGCGTGCAGCTGCGCCGCGGTCAGCGACGACGGCGGCAGGTCGTTCTCGTACCAGAAGCGGTCGCCGCGGCGCAGGTAGTGGAACTGGCGGCCCAGCAGGCAGGTGAGCGTGGGCCCCAGCAGCGCGCCGGGCGACGGGTACTCGGACAGCGCGGCCGGCAGCAGGTCCACGTCGCTCACGTTGGCGTACACGGAGCGCAGCGCGTTCACCGCCTCCACGCCCATGCGCGGCTCCAGGTCGTGGAAGGACCGCGGCCGGCTGGCCTCGCCGCCGCAGAAGGCCACCCAGTCCCCGTAAGGCGGCAGGCCGTGGTCGCGGCCTTGCTGGATCAGCTGCGGGGCAGAGGGCGCAGGTTCAAGTCTCGGCGGGGCACAGTGGGCCAGAAGACCGGTGGAGGCGGCCAAAACTCGAGACGCGTTTTGAGCCCCAGACTCGCTTAACAGGACTCGAACCGAACGTGTGACCCCACCAATGGGTTCCTCGTTCGGAGAGCAATCCATTAGTGGGGTCACACGTTCGGTTCGAGCCCCATTTAGCGACTCTGGAGCTCAAAACGCGTCTAGAGTTTTGGCCGCCTCCACCGGTCTTCTGGCCCACTGTGGGGGGCTTCCGTTTCGTTCGCTTTCGTGGTGTGGTCTTACCTGCGCGGCGAGGTCGAGGCCGGGCCCGGGCTGGCCGGGCGCTTGGAACAGCGAGTTGGTCATGATGGAGCTGATGTGCGAGTCGGGCTGCTGCGCGCGGTCCCGGAGCAGGCCGCGCATCAGGCCGGCCAGCGCCCCGCGGGTGTGCAGGCCGAAGGGCGCGTAGAACGAGGCGGCCAGCGACGCCTCGCGGACCTTGCCGCCGGACTGCAACGAGACACACCGACAACGTGACGAACCGCGCCGCCAAGCCGCCAAGCCGTCGCTACCCCCGCCGGGCCGGCGTGGAGTAGCGACGCGGCAGGCTGCCTCCGGCTAGCGCAGCGGTTCCCAACCTTTTTCGGTTCGCGACCCCAAATTTGTAGCCAAAAATTTCCGCGACCCCCAGGAAAGATTTTGCGACCCCACGCGACCCCTACTTTAACATGCCTTTGATACAAAGTGCGATAATCCGGCTTAGTTTGGAAGCAGTATTGTCTCAAAGTTGATCAAAACGGTCACAATGTCTGTGAAAAATCGTGTTTTGGGCCGACTTTAAGCATCTACTGCGTATGATCCGAGGCGGTATTTCGTCCTCCCTCAACGGGCAATTGGTCTTTGGACCTTCCTTTTGCGTGCCTTTGTCACGGAAAGCGATTATCTGCCTTAGTTTGGGAGCAGTATCGCCGCAAAGTTGATCAATGCACGATTTTTCAGACATTTGTGACCGTTTTGATCAACTTTGCGGCAATACTGCTCCCAAACTAAGCCAGATAATCGCACTCCGTAACAAAGGCATGCAAAAGGAAGGTTCAAAGACCAATTGCCCGTTGAGGGAGGACGACATACCGCCTCGGATCAGACGCAGTAGATGCTTAAAGTCGGCCCAAAACACGATTTTTCACAGACATTTGTGACCGTTTTGATCAACTTTGTGGCAATACTGCTCCCAAACTAAGGCAGATAATCGCACTCCGTAACAAAGGCATGCAAAAGGAAGGTTCAAAGACCAATTGCCCGTTGAGGGAGGACGACATACCGCCTCGGATCAGACGCAGTAGATGCTTAAAGTCGGCCCAAAACACGATTTTTCACAGACATTTGTGACCGTTTTGATCAACTTTGAGACAATACTGCTTCCAAACCATGCCGGATTATCGCACTTTGTATCAAAGGGCGCTAGCGCGTCGCTCCGTCTCACGGAAGCGTGCGAGGGAGACGAAGCGACGCCCTGCTCGGGAGCAGCCTCCGGGGGCAAGAGGAAACCTCACCTTGTCGTACTCCGTCATGCTGCGCGGCATGAGCGTGGCCGAGTACCACAGCGCCGCCGCCGCCACCACGTTGGCCACGCTGGGGTTGAGGTCGATGTCGTAGCCGGAGTAGAAGCCCGACTTCATGGGCCGCAGCCCGTAGTCGTCCAGGGCGGTCTGCGAAACGGCAGAGGGCCTCGTTCGTTAGCTCGCAGTCACGTCTCACAGTGTTTCACAGTGTGTCGCAGTGGCGCACAGTGGACCAGAAGACCGGTGGAGGCGGCCGAAGTTCTAGACGCGTTCTGAGCTCCAGAGTCGCTAAATCGGACTCGAATCGAACGTGTGACCCCACCAATGGGTTCCTCGTTCGGAGAACAATCCATTGGTGGGGTCACACGTTCGGTTCGAGTGACTCTGGAGCTCGAAACGCGTCCAGAGTTTTGGCCGCCTGCCCCGGTCTTCTGGCCCACTGTGTGGCGGTGCGCGTACCTGGCCCAGGAGCACGGGCAGGAACTCGCTGTACGTGATGTGCTGCAGCTCGGCGGCCACGACGCGCCGCGCCTCCTGGAACAGGGTCTCGTCGGCCCAGTGCGGGTTGATGACGCCCAGCTCGCGCGCCACGCGGTTGTGTTCGCGCACCAGCACGGTGTGCATGCCCGCCACGCCGAGGTGCTCGTTGGCGCGCATGTCGCCCGCCAGGAAGCAGCGGTGCTTGCCGCGGTTGGCGCGGCAGTCGTCGCGCACGTCGTCGGACGGCATCAGGGGGCCGTCGGGGCCGGGCTGGAAAGATTCACGTTCACATTCAGGTTCGGCCATTTCGGCGGTCAAGTTTCGTAAATTCTAAATCCTCTACCTGCGTGCGCAGCAGGCCGCCGCGGAGCTCACGCAGACGCAGCGCCATCTCGCGGGAGGAGCCGTAGATGGCGGAGCCGTCCAGGAAGGAGGTGGCCTGGTTGAGCTGCTCGCGGGGGCCCAGGGTGCAGCCGGTGCGGGGCGCCGCGGCGGACCGCGCGTACTCCTGGCACCGCTCCCGCTCGGGACTGAACACGGGGTCGTCGTCAGGCAGCCGGATGGGGAAGCACTCGGGGTGGAACTCGCTGAAGTCCACGCCGCAGCACTTGATGGGGCGCCCGCCGAAGCCTGCCGAACCGGGAAACGTCAACGTCGACGTGGTTTTGCTGTCACCTCCCCAAGCCTCCCATGCCACAAGTTTTCCAGTGTGTGAATGACGTCACGCTCATTGCGGCGGCCATATAGTTTTACAGCGGCCTCCTTGGCACCGCCGTGCTTGTCGACGCCCAGGCCGAGGCCCAGGCAGTAGCAGCACGCGCGGCACACTGCGAATGGACGTATCTTCGCGTGCGGCCGACGCAGCTGCGCGGTCCTTCTGCTGCAGTGGCTGCTGCAGTCGCTCCGTCTCTCTCCCACTCCCGGGCCGCGGGGCCGCGCGGCAGTGCGAGAGGGAGAGAGACGGAGCGGCACTGTGACAATGTAGTGCTGCGTGACTGGCGGCGTGACTTGGCGCCGTGTCGCGTGTGGTGGTCACCTTCGCCCGCTGACCCCGCGGCCGGCGCCGGGGAGGGGGAGGTGCACATTTTTCTAGGTGTCCGCCCCGCCGCGTTACAAACGGTAGTACGCCGAACACCACACACTGTGGGCCAGAAGACCGGTGCGGTGGAGGCGGCCAAAAGTCTAGACGCGTTTTGAGCTCCAGAGTCGCTAAACAGGACTCGAACCGAACGTGTGACCCCACCAATGGATTCCTCGTTCGGAGAGCAACCCATTGGTGGGGTCACACGTTTGGTTCGAGGCCCATTTAGCGACTCTGGAGCTCAAAACGAATCTGGAGTTTTGGCCGCCTCCGCCGGTCTTCTGGCCCACAGTGCCCCGCCGCGTTACAAACGGTAGTACGCCAAACACCACAGTTCATTCACAACTTTGCGTTTTGTGTCGAGGAGGACGGCCTTACCGCCCATCTGCGGCGTGTGCGCCAGGTCGTGCGCCAGCAGGTCGGCCCACACGGGCAGCAGGGTGACGACGTGGAGGTGCGGCCGGTCCGAGTCCCGGTGCACGGCCAGCGACACGGAGCGCGCCGACGGCAGGCCGCCCACCGCGCCGCGGGGCAGCGACACGCCGTCGGAGTACTGCGGGGACAGGAAGCGCGAGTACCTGCCGCCGGAAACGATCCAAAAGTCAAAACACGGGCAAGGCAAGGCGAAACAGTCTGAGCAGTCACAGTGGGCCAGAAGACCGGCGGAGGCGGCCAAAACTCTAGACGCGTTTTGAGCTCCAGAGTCGCTAAATGGGACTCGAATCGAACGTGTGACCCCACCAATGGATTGCTCTCCGAACGAGGAATCCATTGATGGGGTCACACGTGCGGTTCGAGTCCTGTTTAGCGACTCGGAGCTCAAAACGCGTATAGAGTTTTGGCCGCCTCCACCGGTCTTCTGGCCCACTGTGGCAGTGCGCTGTGTACGCACCGCGTGTTGGCCGCGCCCCACAGTGGTCGCTGCACGTTGTTGCAGTGGCCCGAGTAGGCGCGGTACTTCCTCGGCGGGCAGGGCGCCTCGCGCGGCAGCGGGCAGCCGCGGCCCAGCGTCGTGTTGGTCACGTCCATGGACGGCCCGCCCAGCCGCACTTGGTCGGGGGACAGCTCCAGCCTGCGGGTCCAAATCGAATCCATTAGAACGGGGCGGAGTGTGAGTGGCGGTCACTGGAGCGCGGGGGTACTCACGCCTGCGCCATGTACTTGGTGGCCTCCTCGGCGACCAGCGCGACGTGCGTCAGGTTGTGGGCCGCGTCGTTGGCGGAGTGCGACGCCGCCATGAACCAGGCCGGCGTGCCGGGGGACGGCATCACGCCTGCGCGTCAAAAGAAACACGTTCGTTGAGAGCGGAAGCCGCGGGAGTGTGACGCACACCGGGGTGGGGCCAAAACCCGGTGGTTGGCCCCGGCCCAAATCCGGTCGCCGTTTGAGCCCCAAACCAAATGGGCTCCCCGAACGGGGAATCCATGGGGGGACCCCACCTGTTTCCCTCTCCAAAAAACGCGGAGTTTTGGGGTCCGGGTCTTCTGGTGGGGAGCCCCGGGGGGTTTGCGACTCGGGCCCCAAAAGGTCTCAAAGCGGTTGCCCGGGGGCCTCCCCCCGCTGAGGGCCCCCCGCACCCCGGCGGGGACTCCCATGGCGACGGGGGCCGGGCTCCAGGGCCCTCGAAGGCGGGGTAAAGGGGGCGGTCCGCCCGGCGTGGGGCCCGGCAGCACCTGGCACGGGGATCTCCGGCATGGCGACGTGGCCAGCGGGCAGTCAGCGGCCCACACGCTCCACGGCGGGGGTCATAGTCTTCCCAAAGTCGCGCGCGCGGCGTGGCGGCGGCCACCACCAAAAGCACTCCCAAAAGCATGGGTTTTGGGTCGACACCCCTTTTGCCACAAGTCGTCACCCCGACGTGTCAACCCCCTCGGCGAAGATCCACCACACTACAATGCACTGCCAAAAGCAAGGGGTTCTTGTCTATAGACAACCTCTTGCCACAAGTCGTCACCCCGACGTGTCAACCCTCTCGGCAAAGATCACACACTCTCTCTGGTGCACCGAAAAACGTGGCGTTTCTCGCGGGTGCTTTACTCCTGACAGTGTAAGGCGCCGGTCCGTTGTGTGGACGGGACTAAAATTCGCGAAGGCCACGGCAGACGCCGATCCGAACAGGAAGAGTTCGGGACGAAAACGACCACGACGGCGGCGCGCCATTTTAAACGATACACGCCGTGCGCGCACCGAAGTAATAAATGGAAAGACTGCCTAGTCCCGGCCGGTTAACGAATAATCCAAGCCAATCATTAAGTCGGGCTCATCCTGGGTGCAGGCGCGGGGCGGCGCCGCGCCGGCCTCCTTGACCTCCAAGACGTCCCATGCGTTTGCCTTTGTTCGGGTGGGCGGGGCCGGGGCGGGGCGGGCCGGCCGGGCCTGCGGGTCCGCGTGCCGCACCGAACGGAGTGTCTGTGTCAGGATCAATGTCGAGGGTGACCCTGGGTCACCGACGGCGCCAGCAGCAGCAGCGCGATGTGCAGCGGCGTGTTGCAACCGACCGTCCTTCCCCCGGGCCCCCGGCACCGCGGAGCACGCGGAGCAGCAACCATCGTGGGGCGTCCTTACTACTGCAGGACGCCGTGCCGACGCCGTGCCGCACAGTGGGCCAGAAGACCGGTGGAGGCGGCCAAAACTCCAGACGCGTTTTGAGCTCCGAAGTCGCTAAACGGGACTCGAACCGAACGTGTGACCCCACCAATGGATTGCTCTCCGAACGGGGAATCCATTGGTGGGGTCACACGTTAGGTTCGAGCCCTGTTTAGCGACTCTGGAGCTCAAAACGCGTCTGGAGTTTTGGCCACCACCACCGGCCTTCTGGCCCACTGTGTGCCGACGCCGTGCCGAGCCCCCAAGGGACGCCGCGGTGCACGCACGATTACCGACTAAACGGCTAAACGCTCGCCTCACAGTGACTGACGCCCAAATTGCCCGACAACGCATCATCCGCGACGGCTGACCTCACACTCACTCTCGAACTCGCACGCGGAGCGGAGGCTTCGAGAAACCCGATGCACCGCGTGGCTGGAGGGCCAGCCGGTCAAAAACGCATTGCTTTAAATTTTAAATACAACCAGAAAACTGTCAAAAAAGTTGCTTTATGAGAATGGCCAAAAGTAATTGTTGAAAGTGTGTACCTAAACGGCAAGCCGACTGCGGTCGCTGGAGCCTGTCCGACAGAGACAGACGTATACAATGGCGAGGGCACCGCTATTAGTGGGTCTAGGTTAAGCTCCTCCGGGATGCGAAAACAAACAAAAGCAACAACGCCATCCAAAAAAGAGGCGCCGCTGCCTGTATTCGATCCAAGGCCCTGTAACGAACGGACGCCCGTAAAGTCGACGAGGTGTCGATTATCAATTCCTTTACGACGGACGCAGGCTGACGGTTAGACGCGGTGAAGCTGCCTCTCCGGTCGGCGGCCACCTCCTTGCCGTCGCCTGGTGCTGCTGCCCGCAGTGGCGTTCTGTCACTTTATGTACCAATTGTTTTTAACCTTTCCAAAAAAAAAATTCGTAAAAATTTTGTGTAAATTTTTTACATGGAAAGTTGTGTTTGAAAAATTTTTCAAAGCTGCTTTCTCCTGGACACTCCTGGGCTCCTCCTCGCGGACCCCGGCCCCGCCCCGGGGGCGGGAGCCGCGAGCTTTGTCGGGCACAATACTGCTTGACTCGGCTTGACTCGGCTTGACTCCTCGGACAGCGGTGCAGGCATGGCCCGCTGGCCGCTGATGACAGGCAGTGGGAAGTCTGTACCGTCACCACACTGCTGCAGCGAGGCTAGCAAGGCCGAGGGCGTCGCGTCGCGGCGTCCCAGCAGAGCAGAGCAGAGCAGGCGGTCCCCAGTGCCCTTATGAAAAGGCGAAGCTACCGTGCCAAGGAACGACGCCGAAGCGAACGCGGAAAAATAACGTTTCGCGTTCGCCTTTCCACGAACGTTTGAAAGTAAAAGTCACACATGCTGAAAACGATAATTTAAACGAGCGGGAAATGGCGAAGTGGTTGTAAAGTCGCCGCGTGCCGTGTGTGCGAAAGGCTGTCACTGCTCCGGCGATGCACCCCGGCGAGGCGCGGCCCGCGATAAGGAAGAGAGGCGCCAAGGCTACCCTCTCTAGCCTCTCGTCGGGGCTCTCTAGCCTCTCGCCGATGAGGAAGCGCCCGGAAAGAGGCGCTGGCGCGGTGCTGGCGCGGCGCCGACGGGGAGGTGCAACATTTCGAGCAAATGCGCGCGCCGCCGTGCCACGCCGCGCCGCTCTCAGTGTCACCGTCGCGCGCTGCAAGGCGGCGGAGGGGAAGGGGAAGGGGGAGGGGAGGGGAGGGGGAGGGGGGAGGGGGGAGGGGGGGAGGGGAGGGGGGGAGGGGGGCTGCAAAGGCCGGCAGCAAGGACGCGAGGAACAAGTCGAATTTAAGAATGATGTGGCGCGCGACTGGCATGCCGTGGCAGTGTGGCAGTCCGCGGAGTGCTCGGCTGCCAGAATAGGGGCGCTAGACCGTGGAAACGGCGCCGGGGACGGCGATGACGGTTTTGGCGCCTTTCGGGTCACACAGCTCTCAGTCACACGCACGCAAAGGTCGGCACTCAGAGGTAATGGCCACGTGAATTTTTCCAAACGGTGTCGTCTGGGGGCTCGCCTTAAATCAACCACTTTGGTCGCGCCTGTCGCGCCGCGGTCCTTCTCGGAAATGGAATTAATTGACCACTGCATCTCTTCCTTAATGACACTGCATCGGCAAGTCCAGGGCCGTCCGGCGGCGAAGGACCGCCGGGACAGGAACAGCACTCGGCGCCAAGGACTCTCTTCTTGGGCTGATTGGAAGATGATGGGATAGGCGCGAAGCTGGCGAAGCTGGCGAAGCTCCTTGGGGAAGGTTAGGGTCGACCAGCCAGACAAGTGCAAGGCGTCATTAATCGCCGCTGCGTGGTTTAACTGCTTTTTAAACAAGATGGAAAAATTTCAGGGCCTGCCTTGCCTCGTCTCCGTTGTCGGCATGGCCGCGTTAAATTTTGATTCACCGCAGAAGAGTCGAAAAAGCTTTTGTAAATTTAAATTGAAAATAAAACCAAAAACATCCTTGAGGTAAAATAACAACTGTTTCTTGTCGAGACGGGAGGTCCCCTGACATTTGGAACGGAATCGGGAGAGGCAGCTGGAAGTGAGAGAAAAACAGCGACGGAGAGAGAAGAACAGAGATGAGCCCCGACCCGAAGGGAAAGAGAAAGAAAGAAAGATAGAGAGAGAGGAGTGACAGGTGAGATGGCCCACCATGACGGATGAACCCCGCCCCCTCTTGTGCAACGAATGTCTCAGCATCGAGTGTCAAGGAGCGGAATGGAGACAGGCACACTGTTGGCCATATTTAAAAGCCCGGCCACATAACCATTACCACACGTACGCAATTCCCGCATAATTCTTCTCCGAAGGCTCACAGGAGGGTTTTGTCATGAGCCCAAAGGGTACACGCCTTGGCCAACCTGTGGTTTTTACCGATCAGTGCGGACCGAAGTGCAGAAAATCTGACTATGTACACAAAAGGAATCCACCAATTATACCAGACTTCCACAGCAACAAGCACTGAGATAAAAGTCGAAACGGTAGTCAGAGCTTCCAATGTTTGTTCTTACTTTTTTTTGCAGTGCAGTGCAGGGGGGACGACCCTTGACACTGGGAAGCAGCGCGGGCGCGACGCGTGCTAGAAATTTACAGCGTGGACGACAGCGTCACTGCGAGCGATGACTTTCCAAGTGGCTTTTCATGCGGCGATCTCTTGGTTACTTCCAGACTCTTCTTCTTCTCCAGCGCCGGCGCCGCTGGACAACGAAAGGGGGGAGGGGGGGGAGGGGGGGGGACGGCCCGTGGCCGGTCGGCCGGTCGGGTTCATGCCGGTTACGTCAGCGAGCGGCCCGCCGGCCCGCCGCGGTCGAGCCTCTGGGCCGCCACGCCGGAGCCGTACCGGAGTCTGGAGTCCGTATGCACGCCGCGGCACGCCGGGTACACTGAACTCCGCACTCCGCGCAACGCGGCGCGGCGCGGCACGGCGCCGTGAAAAACGAGAGTCGATACAACGGGTGCGCGTAAACATAGAGGCGCGTTCCGGGAACGGCTTTCTGCAGAGCAAACAACGGCTCGCCGAGGACTACTTTGGAGGAGTCTCTCGCAATGTCCCGACGGAAACGGCCGCTCAGCATAAGTAGCAGAAAATACTCAAGTTTATGTTACAGTCGCACGACAACGCACACACTCGCGTGGAAGCCACTGAGTTGTGTGTAGGCG